CAAGATTGATGGGAAGCAATAGTGTATGACTACAGAGGAGTAGTGAAGTAATTCACTCAGAATGCGATCCTACACAATGTACCGTGAGGTAAGCACAGCTCTCTCTGAGAGACCAGTCATTTTTCATAAGATAAGAGAATCTTCAAATACAGAACCAAAGGCAAGATTTGAACACGATCTCAATCATATTAAGACATCATTAAGTAAACTAATCGCAGATACAGTTTCAGGAGTTAGTATTTGTAAGCTTTATAGAACAGGAAAAAAGGTGGATTCTGGAAGTCCTCAGAAAAACCGCCTTCTAAAGGTTACATTCAACACGGTGGAAGAAAAAAACCTGATTCTAAGTAATTCACGTAAACTGATTGGATCCGGAATATATGTCCGTGAGGATCTCAGCCTAGCTGATCGTATTAAGAGACGAGCTGCAGAAGCGGAAATAAATGAGCGTCGTCAAAACGGTAAAAGAAACCTCGTTCTTAAGGGTTTTCAAATTGTAAAAGTTCGGAGCAAAACGATCCCCAAGCCACTCTAGGTAGCAGGGGAAAGCTCTCCACAGACTTAAAGGTATGATACACAAATGCTCGCAGCCTTCTAAATGAAATGGCGGAACTCAAGTCAGTGGTGGAGAAAGAAAAACCGGACGTTATTGCTGTCTCGGAAACTTGGTTAACGTCAGAAGTATTAGATAGTGAAATCCAATTGACTGGTTTCATAACCAGTAGGGCTGATAGATTAAACCGAAGGGGAGGCGGGGTTATTGTGTACACGAAAAGTACCCTAACCATAAGATTAGCTGAGACAGTAGCACATGTTTCAGGGACATGTGAACTGGTGAGATGGAAGTTGAAATGCCGAAGGCAAGATATTGAAGTAGTTGTAGTATATCGCAGTCAAGAATGTGTAGCAGATGATTTTATCCTAAGTAAACTTAAGTCCTGGTGTAAAAACGGTAAAAGTCTTGTGGTAGGCGACTTTAATGCACCACATATAAACTGGGTTAACTTAGAAGTAGGGTCATACATATCGTCGTTCCACTGCAAACTGTTAAAAACCTCGATTGGATTAGCATTATTCCAGCACATTAGAGATCCCACAAGATACGACTTACGAAACTCTTCTTCTCTTATAGATTCAGTCTTCACACACGGTGAGGACGTTGGTCAAACGGCTTTTCTCCCACCACTTGGGAGAAGTGATCATGCAGTCATCTTATTCAAATTCATGGCTGAGATTGCCTGTCAAACAGTTGCACCGGCCCGTCCCAACATATGGAAGGCAGATATGCAGGCAACTAACTCCGCAGCATCAGCTGAAAACTGGGAAATTGACTCAAAGGCATCAGTACAAGAGGCATGGACTCTATTCAGGCAGTTATACAATCGGTTAACTCAACCATACATACCCTGGACTGTCCCAAAGAAAAAGAAGCACGGACATCCCTGGATAGGGCGGGATATTCGACGCTTACTAAGACAGAAGAAAAAATACTGGGATGTTGCCATCCACCTCAGCACAGCAGGTACGATGGAACGCTACAGATCGGTAAGAAACGAGTGTATAACAAAAATTCGGGAAGCGCAAAGAAAATATGAAATGCAGCTGGCACAATCTACACTCAAGCATCCCAAGAGAATATTCTCGCACATAAACTACAGAACAAGGATGCATCATTGGATTCCCAACTTAATTAAAGTAGGAAATGAATCCGAAATGATAGAGGGAGATCAGGAAAAAGCAGAGGCTATGGCTGACTATTTTGGGGCAGTTTTCACCCAGGAACCTCTACTAGAGAAAGAACCAAATCAAAATAAACAGTCAACAAACCACCTGCTCACCGTGGACTTCGACCAAAACGATGTGCTTAAAGCTCTTAGCAACTTAAACGTGGAAAAGTCAACAGGACCAGATGAGCTATACCCCAAAATCTTGAGACATATGGCACAATATATCTCATCCTCACTGACTGTGATATTCAACATGTCACTTGATCAGGGAGTGCTACCTATGGACTGGAAGGGCGCGGTCATCACTCCCATACACAAAACAGGACCAAAAAAGCTATCGAACTACAGACCTGTAAGCCTCACCAGTGTTGTAGTTAAAATATTGAAAAGAATAGTCAAACGGACCATAATGGCATTTATGGAAGCCAACAACCTGCTAAATATAGAACAACATGGTTTTAGGAGGGGTCTATCTTGTACAACGAACCCCCTTATAGCAAGAGAGTTCTGGATCGATGCGCTAGACAACAGAAACTCAATGGATGTTGTCTATATAGATTTCAGTAAGGCTTTTGACAAGGTACCAACTAATAGACTGCTATTGAAGTTGGAAAACCTTGGTATTGCCGGACCTCTTTTAAAATGGATTAAAGATTTCCTAGTAGGTCGTAAACAAAAAATAAGAATAAATTCCAAGTGCTCCATCTGGAGACTAGTATTTAGTGGAGTACTCCAAGGTTCCGTCCTAGGTCCTTTACTTTTTATAATGTACGTTAATGATCTTACAAGTATAGTACAGTCTCCAATGTTATTATACGCTGATGATGTAAAAAGTTGGCGAGTAGTAATTGGAGACAAAGACTCATTCACTCTTCAGGCAGACTTAAATAATATGATAAACTGGTCTAGGGAGTGGCTGATGCCTATCGACTCGGAAAAGTGTGTCTACATGTACTTGCGGGATTCAAAGGTTAATACGTACAACATGGGGATGTGTCATTACCAGTAGTCCGGTCTCATAAGGATCTAGGGGTGACAGCGAGTAATGATCTAAAGACGACGGCCCATTGACGGGAGGTCGCAACCAAGGGGTTTCGAACCCTCTGGGCTTTAAAAGGGACATTCACTGAGTTAGATGCTACCATGTTCACCACATTATACACATCCTTAGTGAGAGCCAAGCTAGAGAACTGCGTTCAGGCTGCAAGCCCCTGCTTAAAAGGTGACTCGGACATACTAGAAAAAGTACAGAGGGCAGCTACCCGTGCAATTCCGGAACTTCGGGGTTTTTCATACAAAGAGCGGCTTGAAAAACTGGACCTCTTTACTATGTCCTATCGCAGACTAAGGGGAGACCTAATTTTGATGTACAGAATACTGAGAAATGATTTCGGACCTAACTAATTCTCTCTCTTTCTTCACACTAGATCGGGACACCTCAGGGGACATAGCAGGCGAGTGGAAAAGTCAAGAACGAACAAAATACCCGTGGCATACAGGTTTTCACACCGAGTCATCAATACTTGGAACCTGTTGCCTGAAGCAGTGGTGTCCGCACCTTCAATTGACGCTTTCAAGAGAAGACTGGACACTTACAGAAGCGTACTAGAAAGGGAATAACATAGGCCGTAGGCCTTCTGTCCTTACTACACAAATCTGAAATACCTGAAAGGCGAAGTTTCAGAGCTAAGCGAGGCACAAGATGCTTGCTACAGAAGAAGTGGAAAGTCTTTCAGAAGAATTCAGTTTAAAACTCTTACATGACTTCCAAAAACGAATGCAACACTGAACTCCGCAGAGATATGAGTTTCTATAGGCCTAGCTAGCAGACAAAACATAAGCCGATTCCAAACATCTACATAGACTCATGATCAGATGAAGACCAAAAAAGCTGGGGATCTGTACTCTTAAAGGGTTAGACAGAAAAAATCTCACTACCCTAGTAATGGCAAAGATCTTTAGTGGTGACTTCACAGGTCAACTAAACGAGGATTCCGCAGCCACGGAACATTTGTGAACTCTTTTGATAGTGGAGAAACTAGGATATATTCAACTTACTCCCGAGTTATTAATAAAAAGACTATAAAGTTTACGTTTAGGAAAGTCCCCCGTATTTGATAACATTCGGTCTACAATCGTAAAAGAGTGTGCAAAAGCCATCGGGACACTAGAGTATTACCTGCTCAGTCACTCACTAGATCCACACTGACTCACAATATAACAGAAGCAGGCCGCTCTCTCCAGTCTTCAAGAGGGTGTTAGAAATGACTCAGCCCGTTACAGACCAAGTGTATTTCTCTCATTACTGTCAAAGGTTAAAAACAACATCCTCCATGAAGCCCAACACGGGTCCCTTGAGTCAGCTACGTCTGATACTTGTCTCACAACTTACCACGATTACCATGACCGACAATCCGTAAAGTCCTACTATCTCGCATAATAATATCTCTGATTTCCCTATTATTTTTTTAGTTTCGTCTTCTAACATTGTCTTCATTCTCAATAAGTTGTAAAGATGCGACAGGTATTCGGAGTTTGACAACGCCTAAACAAGTAATAACTTTATGATCAAAGCATATCAACTCAGTCAAATCAGAAGTCAGAAATGAAGGGGTACGAAGATATATTTGGAAGGCTATCGATAAATAAGAAAGCGTTTGGTTTAAGATGGACAACAGTTATAAGGGATGCGTAGGACAGCATATCCACTCGTTCTCTAATGTGTATGCGTGACCTAACGCTTTTATCTAGATGTGTCCAGTAAAACTAGTCAGGTCAGCATTAATGTCAAAGACTTACAGAACAATTTAATTAGGGAATTTTCATCGCTATAGTTAACTTATTCATTTATTCGCGGGACGATTATCTTTTGACACTTTTATTATCACATTATCTTCAAATTGCAACCAACCAGCTTCCTACCTGGTAATGTGATAGCTGCTGGTATCAAGACTCCGTACTGCCCTGAGACCAACGGACTCACCCAACTTTATGATATACAAATAACTAACAAACTGAATGAAATTATTGCGGTCTAGTGGGTAGACTACCACTCCCTAAACAAGACCGAACCCATCGAACTGTACTGATACAGCAGTATATACAATATCGAGACAAAGATATTGGACATCGGATTCATTGTTTCTGGCCAATCAAATAGCAGCCCTGAAACAAGACAACGTTTGTAGAAATTTGAAGCTTTCAGTTTGTTGTCGTGACTGAAATAACAAACCTATTTAAAAACACTCACTTCTATTTCTTTTCTATTTGAATATGTTTCGCCTTGAAATTGTCTACAAGTTATTTCACTTTAGTCGTTTTCCAAAGGAAGAAGTAAGTGCTTATAGATGTACAATTCTGCTTACATCCTCTAGTTTATTATCTCTAGAAATATATCATATTTGTGTTCATATTTTATATTATACTGTCTTTAAGTGCTATACTGGAATCAGGTTGACGTCCTTCTTCGCTTTCCCGTGCTCATGTTTTGTGCTAGTGTTTATAATTTAGTTCGTTTTCTTCCTGATCACTTGAAAACTATCACCTGGTTACAAACTTCATTTTGGTTAACAGGAGCTTCAACCATTTGTTTTCCTGTTTGGCCCACTCTTCTACCTTCTGTGAGCAGAGCTAACAGACTTATTTTGTATAACTTTATCATTACTTTTGTAAATGGTATATTTTTGTCCACCACAATTATCTGGTAAGTCTGACGTGATACGAACACGCAGCCTTCCGATCTGGAGTCAGATTTACAGCTACTAAAGTGGAGTTGGCTCACTCGCTTTCTCCGTTCTTCTTCGCTTCGCTTTCCCCACTATGTTTCTCTAATTCTGTGTCCAGATAAACGGGTATATGAAATAAACGTGTTCAGAACCCATACTCGTATCTGGTTTATTTAATTCAGCCATTCACTAACAGGATTCAAGTCGATAGTTATTTACGAGGGTAGTTGGCATGTATATTTCGATAACAATCGGCCTATGATCTAACTGGGGCCAGATACAGGACCACTATGGCAAATTGACTGATAATTAATGATAGTTACATTTAGCAAGGAAATGAATCGATTTTATACTCATCTGATTCGTTTTACTAAGATAACTAAAAGCCTGTCGAGTAACTTTCCTGTTCCTCCTTTTCTTGTTTGTAGCAAATGAGTCCAACTTGATTTTTCAGCTTCTTGAGTTCATGTTAACTGTCACTGCACTCAGAAGTATTGCGGTACTAAGTATCAAACTAATACATTTTTATTCCTCGTTTCACAACTTGGTGTCTAAATAAGTAATAGATGAATTGTTCACTAGCACGTTGAGAAAGCTTCATAAATAATGTCATAAAAATTATGTTTTATTGCAAAATCATGCTGGCATTCTATTGTTTGCTTCCTGTTTTTATTTCTCATGGTATATGATTGACTTATGTTCACACACTATCCGTACGACATAACATTGATTTATTTCTTGTTCATCTCTATATAGATACATGGATACTAACAGGTAATTATGTGCGATTTCAGATATAAACCCGTCACCTATGTATCTTGTGGTATTTAGAATCTGTAGGTCAGTCTTTATCGTATAGCTCATCACCATACCAACTTAATACTTTTTGTTTTAAGCTTCAAGAACCTTATCAAACAAAAGTTTATTTATAGATTGCAACCTAGTTCAGAGACCTGGAACACTTATTAATAAGCCAGACTATCTTTTCAAATTGTGTTAAACTCAGCTTAAAGTTCTGCTCAGGGATGTTTTACGTGATCTAAACGTTGGTAAGCTAGGTTAGCTTTCAGAATAATAAAAAATAGCCTGTGATTACTGTATATTGTTGTCTATCTATTTACTAGAGTTTATTCAATGTAATAAATATAGAAAATCATACTTCTGGCAAATTTTAGTGACCCACCATATAAACAAATTTTAGTACACTCACCACAGATTCAAAATATAATTATAGTGTATAAGCCTGTCCATAGACATTCAAAGGTTAAGTTCATTCTCGTCGAAACCTAAGCCCAATCACTAGTACAATTGTTTACCGATAAATATTTAATAGGTTAACAGCAATACACTATTACGAACTGTAAATGTATAGGTGCATTTTTGTCAGTCATTTTCCAGTGAAACTAATCTTTTTTGCTTTGCTTTGATTAAAAAACTACAGATGGACGTATTTTCTAAACCAACATTATTCACTCGAGTCTTTGCTCTTTCTATAAGAAATATGAGTTCTACAAATCAACAACCAAAGCATAAAATTCTTATCGTAGGTGGAGGCACAGGTGGTTGTTCAATAGCTAATCGTTTATGTAAACATTTCGAAAAGAATGAAGTTGCTGTAATTGAGCCGTCTGCAGTAAGTAATTCTTAAATCTTATTGGAAATCCTTTATGGCAAATTACTCTTTTTTACCATGTTGATATTTTTATCTTAATAATTTCATCTGGTCGTCCTGTTATAATACGATAACGTAGGCTGATAGACTTCCATGTTGGGTCTTACGTTTATTTCAACTGTCTTGTTTTAATCATTACAAAATTCCTGTATGGCTTTGGTTTTCTTCTTTTAACAACTTCCCGAGCTAACAATCTTCTGCAACTATGCTTATTCTTATTCGTTCACACTGCCGTATAAGTAACACCGAAACTGAGCACAACAATGTCATAAGTATTACCATTTCCAAACAGTATTTTTGACGGATCAAACACTTTAATTGTAATTTCAGTAACCTTCATGCTAAACATTATCTGACACTCAAGCTGAGTAAAAAGGACAGGAGGTCAGTTTGTACCACTCATGAAAGTTGGAAAAATATGATCCCAAACTAATGGTGTGCTTAGGCTCCACGATCCTAAGCAGATGATTGACATAGGAACTTATTTTTGGTTACCAGTTACAATGATACAACGTTTGACGTGAATTCACTGGTTTAAGAATTACACCTCCAAGTCAGAGGCTTTCGAAGTGATCTCCCTGGATAAGTACCTGGTCCACCTTGGGAGACTATACACTATCTCAACCCACAAATTCTCTTTTGTATGGCACGTGATATTTTTGGTGTCTAGTTTTACCTGATTTTGCATGAATTCGATAAAAAGTAACGCCACAGGATAAAGTTTTTGTTGTTGACTTATTAGCTTTCAGTCTATCACAAATACCTGGACAAATTCCTAAAAGCCTTGGAATTTTCGACTCACTACTTTTCCAGATATGAGCCAAAATGAAATTCAATTACACTCATTGTTGTAATTGAGGTTTTGCTTTTTTTGATGAGCGATAAAACATACTTTTTGGAGGATTAATATCTTAACTGTGTTCCTGTTTCAACGTCAGCCTTTACTATTCCATATTCTTTTTCCTCGTGATATCGCTATATTATTTTTTTTCGATAATATTGTTATTCAGACTCATTATTACCAACCTTTATGGACACTTGTTGGTGCTGGTATTAAACCGTTAAAGGAATCAGCTCAACCTCTAGAAAAAGTTTTAACATCAAAAGCCACATTGTATAAGGATAAAATTACACATATTGAACCAAAAGAATCTTATGTTGTACTATCAAATGGAGATAAAGTGAGTACTTTCATGAAACTAATTTTTATGTGAAAAAAAGTTATACAAAATGCACATTGTTTCCTTCACTGTTTTGTTTTTACTTAATATAATGTAGCACATAGATGCAATTAATAAAGAAAATTTTGAATACCTACTTGTAGTTTCCTAAGAAAAGCTAATTTTATTACAAAGTATATCTTTTTCTATTTGAATTTTATTTTTATTTTTGTAGCTACAAGTAAAGTGACTATACTCAAGAATATTAGTAATAAACTTATCTACTTTTAAAAAAAAATATGATATGTAAAATGAAATTTCTATTTTAATAAAGTCAGTCAGTCAGTAACAACGTAGAACTTCGTACGTACGTACATCAGTTTGCGTTGCTATACCACATTAGCACAGAAATGCAGTTGTTGATTCAAATCCCGTAGTGGTAGAGGTAGTAAAAGTATAAGCAGTAACCAAAAAGATTAGGGCTTGAAGACTTTACTCAAGGAGTATAGTCCAGAGAAATAAATATGGAAAGAGAAAAAAACTAGGACACAAAAAATTCAGAAGATAAGGATTTGAGAGAACACAAAGAGTGGACGTACCTGCGCCATTGCAAACGATTTTCAGCCATGTCATTCAAGGTCCCTAACCATCGGTTGCTATCAACCCACGGATCTCAATCAAGTAGTCTACACCTACCAACATAGTTCAATTCACTTGTCAGTAACTTCATGAATTTCTGCCATGTTTTGGTCTGGCCGGCCCTAGCTTTCTTCCAACTTACTCCTACATCATGAAACATCGCCCGTCCGGGCATTCGGTAGTTAGTCACGCTCAATACGTGTCCTAGTCATCTCAACTGATGATGTTTCACTACTTCATCAATTGATTTACCATCCTTACTAAGTACCCGTTTTCTAACAACTGCATTACTCACTCGGTGGAATTTTATACTTTGATATATACAATTTTTAACGAAAGTGAAAGTTTGTAGCTCACGTGGATGTTTTGACAGAGTTTTGTTCTCTGAACTGAATGGTTCGGTTGTGGAGCTTTCATCGTCCTTCTGAATGATATCATCAGCACAAAATTCCACCTAAAGCTCCATGACCAAATCATTGAGCTCAGAAAACAAAATTTTCACCATAATTTTTAACATTTTGCGATATTTACTTTCAGTTTTTAATTGATGAAAAATTCCAATTATATTAAAAACACAATTGTATGAACGACGTATATTCTTTTCAATAATTTCTCACCGGGTTCTACAATTATAAATCCAGATTAATAATCCATAAAATTGGCCAGATTTAAGGCAGAGAGTACATCATTTGGAAATTGTAATAAGTGAATCAGGAATTGTTTATTATATAAATAAAATCGTTAATGTTGGGGCTGACCAATATGAAGTTGTTAACTTGACTCAGCTTATAAGTGAAATGAAATTGTGAGATAAATTATCAGAATAAATATGGTCAACATGGGGTAAGAGAGAGAGGGAGATAGGGAGAGAGAGTATTAAGATTACAAATCGGAAATTGCGTAATATGTAAAATAAATCTACAGACAAATAGATGGCGTCACGATGGGTTCACCCCTGGGTCCCATATTGGCAGACATTTTCCTTTCTAAACTAGAAAACGGCCCACTGGCACAAGAGATCGATAAGTTTCCATTGTACTGTCGATATATGGATGATACATTTATCCTTTGTAACGAGCATACGGACTTGATAAGAACACTCGAGGAATTCAATACAGCTCACCCGTCCATAAAATTCACATGTGAGAAAGAAAATGGGGGTAAAATAGCCTTCCTAGATGTTCTGCTTACAAGGAGAAAAGATGGATCGCTAAAAAGAAACATAAACAGGAAAATGACCTGGACGGGTCAATATACTAACTTTTTCAGTTTCGTTCCTCTACAACAAAAAAGGAACCTTATCAAGACACTACATCATAGAATCAAGACTATATGCACTATGGATACGATTGAAGATGAAACAAAGACATTGTTTACAACCCTGAAAGAAAATGGATATCCAGAGAAATTTATAAATAAAAACTTAGCCAAAGAAGACAGCGTAGAGAATGTCCAACGGTAAATAGAAAGCCTCTATATATACGCTTACAATTCAGAGGCGACGCGCCGAGTGAAATGTTAAGACTTAAGTTAAGTAGATCAATTCAAAGGACTTTTAACGCAGCTAAACTACAACTACTATTCTCCACACGACCAATAATCACTCCGAGGTTGAAAGATAAATTACCTAGACTAGCCAACTCCTTCTGTATCTATCAATTCAACTGCTCCTGTGGAGCAAGTTATATTGGTAGATGTTCTAGGAATTTGTACATTCGAGCTCGTGAGCACCTACCCGTGTGGTTAAACAAAGGTGTTGTCAAAACTGTTAACAGCTCCATCTTAGACCACTTAGTCCAAGCAGGACATACAGCCAACATGGAACAATCTTTTGCAATAGTTAATCGTGTCAACAGCAGTCTACCTAATTCCGTCAGACTGCGAATCCTACAGACGGCTGAAACAATTGCTATTCGGATCAAAAAGCCAGAGCTTTGTATCCAAAAGAAGTATGTTCAGCCACTCCTTTTACCCTGGCCAACTAGCTAATAATCAATCTTATAATGTGGTGGCGTAATCTGATTAATGTTCATTTTATGTCCCAAACTTATTATTATTATTATTATTATTATTGTCTTTACACTTGATAACCCCTTTTTGAGGGATTTATTCAATATCCACCCCTGAATCTACTATATTTGACCTAATTACATATTACATATTGCGCAATTTCCGATTTGTAATCTTAATACTCTCTCTCTCTATCTCCCTCTCTCTCTTACCCCATGTTGACCATATTTATTCTGATAATTTATCTCACAATTTCATTTGACTTATAAACTGATTTAAGTTAACAACTTCATATTGATCAGCCCCAACATTAACGATTTTGAGCAAAGATGGATAGTGGCTAGCAGTGGAATCCAGGACGCGCGTTTCGTGATTCACATATTACAATTTCTAAATGATGTACTCTCTGCCTTAAATCTGGCCAATTTTATGGATTATTAATCTGGATTTATAATTGTAGAATCTGATGAGAAATTATTGAAAAGAATATACCTCGTTCATACAATTGTGTTTTCAGTTTTTAACCTACAAATAAATATATAGGTTAATAATATTAGGGCTGATAAGATTTTCAATGAGCTGTCTGAATTCCTGTGTTAATAACAACATATTTTCTTTACTGTCCTTGGCAGTAATTAAGATTTCGTTTAGATGTTGACCTTTTCTGTACGATATCTTTTTGTTTGATCACTCTGTGGTCTGGATTTATGTGATATGTATTAAGTCCTTTATTATCTCGCTTCTATAAGATTAGTTGATTTCTTATGGTCTGATTTTAGTTATGATCTTCATCTATCACACATACCAACTTCATAACTATCATATGTTACGCTCTGTATGTATTGAATTTTTCGCATAGGTTTCGATCTCGTTCTTCTGTTCTTAGAATTTAAACCAAAATTTAACAAACTTTGTTGCTAATCAGCATGTAAATTGTTAGTATTATTTTGGTATTGTTGAAGTTTCATAGGTAGATGGCTTAATTGTGGATCTTTCATTAGTGATCCGAACAAGTTCAATGATTACGTAATTTAGACGTTTCTCGGTTATTCTACGAGCTCTTAATCAGCCCATTTTGGTATCGTTGCTTGTGTTTGATTATGTTTGTAGGTTTTGTCATTTTCACTTTTTTTGATATTAAATCTGACTGTTTTGTTCTGTTGTCCTCTCATCATGTGCTAGATGAACCTTTTTCATATGGGTTAACATATATAATTTATTGATGACCAATGGGTATAAATGCTACGTTTCTAGAAATTATTTGTCATTCTGAAAATCCCATCAGTGTGGAATTTAGATGTTATCCCACTCAAATTTGTATCCATGGTTGTTTACACATACATTAATATTAATGATAACGTAGTGCGTCGTTTCACTGATGTTTTATGTTCGTGTATGCGTTCATTTTGTCCAATATAGTGTTTGCTATAGCTTTTATGATTTATTGTGTCGATGATGTGAAACGTGTCGTTCTTTTTTTATTGTGTCTTTGGGTCCGCATAGAATAAACTTTAGTCACTGCACTGGTTTATTAGTAACGTTGACTGCAGTATGTTTAAAAATCCTCGTGATGTTTTATCACATATAATATTGTTGGGTTTCACAACTGATTGATCACTGAGTGAGTTTATAACAAATGTCATGTGTATCAAGTTCTTCTTAGTGCAGATCGCATGCTATCGACCAAGTTGCAATGTGGCCTTAGTCTAGGTGACTCGACATTGCGTGCACTATGTTGAGATAGAATGGTGGGTTTCACATATCGGGTGAATATTTGGCGGGTACTGTGATCCAGGGGTTTATAACTTACTGTCATTTAAAACACAAACTAAATTCGAAATTATGTATGAACATCAGTACTGAGACCACAAATTATATCCATTCAACTGATTAAAAATATAGACTCTTTTAGATTGTAACATCTGATTGGTTTATAATACATTTTCTTTGTTCATGCTTAACGTTTACTTCCAAGTCGTTTAACATGAATTTCGAAATAGTTTTCTACTGGGCACACACACATTTTTAAGCACTATTCAAGGAAATTTCCTTGAAAAAGCTTAGACCAGATTGCAAGGCTATACGTTGGATTTACTTCGAATTCATTTGCTGAAATTTTACAAATACACTATTCTTCTTTAATGACTATTCTAGGAGCTTGGCTCTTATGATCTATTTTCTGAATATTTTAACCTTTTTCTAACAAATGAATTCCAATGGTCAAATAAGAGACTGATCATAAGGTTGATATCAAGTCCCCAGTTGTAGTGTTGTACAGAAGCCTTCAAGGGCGTATCCTAAGGTTTATTGAAGCCTTGGCTATACGGAAACTGAAACCCCCTTTATGTGTTCATAAACAATTCGTTCATACCCTTAACCTAGCCTAGTAATATTGGTTTATTATCCAGAGTGGCTATCAGATTGTTTTTGTATATTTTTTTTAATTGTTAAGATCATGAGTCAATTGAAGATAGACCACCATAGAAAACCTGGAAGCACTGGACGGCCGTTTCGTCCTATTGCGGGTCTCGCGCGCCAGCATTTAACCACTGGACCTCTGAGCCGGCATCCAACGGTGTTATTGTTTAACTTCAACTAATCCACGAAATTGAGCGACACACCCACCATTGTCATCAATGAGTTACTATCTCACAACTGACTCGGTTGAACTCCACTGGTCACAGCTTATCACTAGAACTCCAGGATATACATCTTGAAGCCATTCATTAGTGAGCATATGTTGATTAATATCAGAAGGGGTTTTTGTAGAAATTTTAGTTATTTCAATTGTTGAGATCATGAGTCACTAGTGACTGGCTTCAAGATGTATGTCCTGGAGTTCTAGTGAGAAGCAGTGACCAGTGGAGTTCAACCGGGTCAGTTGTGAGATAGTAACTCACTGATGACAATGATGTATGTGTCGCTCAATTTCGTGAATTAGTTGAAGTTAGACATTAACACCGTTGGATGCCGGCTCAGTGGTCTAGTGATTAAGTGCTGGCGCGCGAGACTGATAGGTCCTGGGTTCGGATCTCGCGGGGTGGGATCGTGGATGCGCACTGCCGAGAAGTTCCACAATAGGACGAAACGGCCGTCCATTACTTCTAGGTTTTCTATGGTGGTCTATCTTCAATTAACTCATGATCTCAACAATTGAAATTACTAAAATCTCCACAAAACCCCCTTCTGATACTTTATCTTTCTTTGTTATGGCTTACCTTTAACCTATCTAGTTGACCTTTTAGTTTTCATATAAAAGTGTTCTTAACAAGTATATAAGTGATCAGATTGTTCGAAATTTATTGCGCAATTAAATCACATATTTCTGATAACCTTTGTCTTCTCATTGCATTAAACTTTTTCTACTATATTCTTTCAAAGTTTATCAGCATCGTGATATTCTGGGCTGCACAATATACTACTTTATTCAGTGAGACTAATTTATGAACGACCTTTGAGCGGCGTCAAAGTGACCTTGAGAGTGTCCACCTAATAACTAGGACCAAATGAGAGTTATAAACCAGTATGGGGAATCATAATTATGATTTACAGTTGATATTTAAAGTTAGAAATTAGATTTAGGGTTTTCATCACGAAATGACATCAACTATAATGCCAAAACTCTATATAGTCAAATGGTTGAGTGACATTTCGCACCAAAATCTAAGACCTGTTATCTTATACCTGATTGGTTCATCCATAAATTATAATCTCCGCATAAGACAGTAATCTTCATAAATTTCCTTTCAAATGATATTTCCTTTCAGATATCATATGAATATTTAATCTTGGCACTTGGAATAACTTTACGTTATGATAAGGTAAATATTTGTAACGTATATGTCCATTTTTCATAGACAAATTTTGAAATCATTATCCCATGCTTATATTGTAGTTAAGCTTCTTGTAACCTTTAGGTAGTAGAATCGCTGAGCTTGTTCATTGATCTTTCACATCTGCATAAATTGTGTCATTCTGATTTCCGGCTTTTCCTCTGAACACTGTGTCAGTTTGTGGTCAACCGATCTTTCAGTCGCAACGTAGAATTTGGTTCGTATGTATATAATTAATATAACTTGGAGGTAGTATCCTACTTGAATAGATCAAAATGTATATCCTTAACTGAGATTGAGAAACAAATATCAGACGTTAAAAATCACAAAAAGAAGTATAAACACTCACTTCAGAAACATTTCCTTGACCACCATGAATAATATCACAGATATTCTTTTCTAATGTTGCCACCTGAGCAGCTATAAATAATACATCATAAAAAATGAATTTACTCATTTTATGTGTAATGCATGACGGGAAATCTATGATTAATATGATAACAGTTGTCTTTCAGTAGGGTAGAACTGATTGAATACCAAATCGAATATGACATTAGTGAACAACATTGTCTGTGCTTAGACTGTCATCAGGTTTTACGCCAATCGTACAATAAAATTTATACACATATATATGAATAAAGGATATTCGTATTTGAACAAAGATGTCTTCAAACAGTCAGTCGGTAGCAAAATTTAACCTGATATGTATGTACCTCAATGAAAGTTGTCATACGCCATTCGCTCAGAAAGATGAAATTATTAAGGCGAATTACACAGTGGTGATAGAAGTAGTAACAGTATCAGTGGAGATGGAAAAAACTGAGCATCGAAGACACGATTGGAGAAAATACAACTTTGTGACTTCAAAAGAATTATGAGGAATTCAGAAGCTCAGAATTAAGGAGGATACAAAAAAATGGATGCAAATGCGCCACTCCAAATGATTTTGAGCTATATTATTTACAGTCTCTAACTATTGGTTACGATAATCACGCGGTCCCCTGACCAGATAGTTTACATCTATTAACGTGACCACATTTCGTTCGACCGTCCCTAAATTTCTTCCAGCCTAATCCTACACCACATAACACCACAGGTTGAGATAAGTGGAGGTTCGGGATACTTAACATATATCAGAACTAACTCAGTTGATAATCATTCACTAACTCATTAATTAATTCACTATCCTACCTAATACTTATGTATAGCCTCGACATGGATCATTAGACAGTCTCAAAAGATAACAGTGATGCTTCGAAAACACTTATGATCGACTGTTAGCAGCCTAAGAATGTCATTTATTCTTAATGGCTGTTTCACTAATGCTGCTGCTTCTGTTACTACTCTGGGACTTTACTTGACAGTTCTAACTCAATGTGCTGATACTTAATGGTGGGGAAGATTTGTAGTTCATGTGGATGATTTTGATGGAAGAACACCTACTCCGAAAGGGATTAAACTACAGTACAAGCGACGCCTCAAAACTTAAATTCTTCGCATCACTAGAGTCATCACTCAAAACTTCCGGAATCAGTGAAGAAACACAACAAGAAATAAGGTAAACTGTAGTACCGCCAACTCAACAGGTGAAGGAAAACAACCAACTGACCCCAAAAGAACAAAAAGCTTTGAAGGAACTCAGAACCAGAAAGGATATTGTCATAGTTCCAGCGGACAAAGGACGCACCACAGTAACTATGGACAAAGAAGAATACGTCGAAAAAACCGAAGAACTACTTGAACGTAAGAGTGCATACAAACTGATGGATATAAATCCCGTCAAAAAATTAGACAACCGAATCTCAAAGCAGGAGAAATAACAAAACAAGACCGATGGAGAATGAAATCCAGTGGACTAGTACTCCCTCGATTCTACGGCAGACCCAAAATACACAAACCAAACATTCCACTACGTCTAATTTTAGCACTCTCCGAAACACCAACATACAATTTGTTAAAAGAAATTTCAAGAATACTGAAACATTTAGTCGATTCATCCAACCACTCCATCAAATCCCCCACACAATTCCTGAACCAAAATAAGGACATTCAAACCAACAACGACGAACTGATGATATCCTTCGATGTAACAACGTTATTCACCTCAATTGAACCAAGGTTAGCAACAGAAACCATATCCCTGCTCCTCACTAACGACACAAATCTAAGTACTGTTAGGTTCGTTAACCTTGAGGATACTACTGATTCGGCTTATTCGGAACGGAACGAAGGCTCAGGATTCAGAGACTCAATAGACTATTCTGGTCCGTTGTCCTAGACTCAGCTGACTCGATCAAGAAGTCTTGGTAAGGCGTAGAAAGTGTATTCTACAAGCAGCAGCAGATACCAAGTCAGGCAGGCAGATCAGACCAAGCATACAAGTCAAGCGTATTTATACAATTATTTACAATCGATATTGTCATAGGAAATTTTTAAACATTAATCAATGAGTTCATCAATTGACCTATTTGCGCATTTAATCAATAGTTCATCAATTGACTGCTATTCAAACATTTAATCGATCAGTTCATCAATTGACCCCAATACAAATATTTAAACATTTAATCAATAAGTTGATCGATGCGATAAAATTTAAAATATGAGTTTGGGGATCTATCGTCCCCAACAGTACACGAAGCTTCAAATTCAAAGTCTACTAGAACTCATCGATTTATGCCTAACAACACTTTCAATTGAACAACAAAATCTACGAACAAACGAAAGGGACACCAATGGGATCAACAATATCAGGACTGATCGCAGAAGCAATGATACAAAGACTAGAAGCCGCGATATTACCAGTGATCAAGCAAAAAATTTGGATTCGCTCTGTAGATGACACATTCGTCATCGTCAAAAAGAATGAACTGGAAAACACTTACAAGCTGATCAACAACGTTTTGGATTATATCAAGTTCACAATGGAACAGGAGTCAAACAACCAACTAGCATTCTAGGATATGATCACTAGAACTGATACAGGAAAACTGGAAACCCAAGTATATAGGAAACCGACCCATACAGATCAAATTCTCAACTACAACAGCAACAACCCAAGAGCTCACAAAATCAACTGCGTACACACATTGTTCAAGAGGACGAGGACACGCTGCAGCACATTGGCAGCACGAAAAAGTGAAGAGAAATACCTGAAGGACATATTTCAAAAGAACGGCTACCCAATTAACTTCATCAAAAAGCACCAACGGCACACAGCATCAGAACCCAAGTCAAGCACAGAAATCAACAAAAGGATCCCCTACCATACATAAAAGGCATATCAGAAACCGCAACGAGACTGCTAAAAACCTTCGGGATAGGTGTGGTACACAAACCAACAAAATCACTACAATCAATCTTATGCAAACCAAAGGATGAAATAACAAAGGTAAACAAATCAAACGTCATCTAAAAAATAAATTGTGCCAACTGCGAAAAACACTACATCGGACAAAGCGGACGCCCCCTTCACCTTCGCCTACATGAACATCAATTAGCAGTCAAACACCATGATATTTCCTCACTTATATCAATACACGTGGACAACTGCGGACACTCATTCGATTGGGAAAATGCGGAAATCTCGGACAGAGGAAATTCCAAAAACACCAGAGATATTTTAAGCACTCAAGTCAATCAGCAATCAATAAGCACATTGAAATCGATCCAATTTATAAGCCAATCAAGAAAATCATGCACAAATATAGGGACAAAAATCAAACCAATGGGAGACACAACCAAAACAAAGAAGTAAACAATGACGGAGCCAATCAACATCGAGGTGTACAGGACAAGCTGTGAACCACATGTGGAGATATTTGAACACTTCACTTCTACCTGGAGTTTGTGTTAATGATGTCGTTCAGAAGAACGATGAAAGCTCTAGCTCAGAGAACAAAACTTCATCAAAAGCAGATACTTAGTTACAAAGTAAACCAATAGAAACATGTTTCAGGTTTTACGTTGTACATGACTGACTGCGTGTTGTGTTTAACGGGACTTACAGTCAATAAATTTATGGGTATAGATAGAATGACTTTAACAATCATCAAACAACCTACTCATTAATTTCTAACTAATTTTCCTGCCTCTATATATATTTGATTAATTGTTTTTCCATTTTCTTCTCTAAGATTATTGGAGCTGAAGAAGCATTGAAAAATGATCCGCGTGTTTGTTCAAACTATTCTACAGATTATGTAGAAAAAACTTATAAAGCTTATCAAAATTTCAATGGTGGTAATGCTGTGTTCACATTACCATCTGGACCAATTAAATGCGCTGGTGCACCACAAAAAGTTATGTACCTATTTGAAGATTACATGAAAAGGGTAAGAGAATATTCTTGTTTTGATTAAATTGGTATAGTTACTATCATAATTAACCTTTGTCAGTTGTGTAGTGAAACATTAAAAATATCAGGTAATTTATGACCGGTTACAATCGATCCACCTAACGAGGTAGAATTCCGGAAGGAACCCTGACTTTTAAAGCTAAATGAGTCACCAGGCCTCGATGACTTACGTCCGGCCCTTTTTAAAGATGGTAATGGATTTCTGATCAGGGAATTGTTTGACCTGTTTGCACAAGTTTTTAAATTATAGTGGTGTGTGTGCTACTTATATTGACATAAGTAGTAGATGATGTTAGTCGTGAACAGAATGTCTGCTAGCAGAGAGACAAGAGGATCGAACAGTAGAACATGGAAACAAATACAATTTGTATGAAAATGCAAGAACAATGAAGTTTGAGTCATTATGAGACAACTGATGGACATTTTGCAAATTAAGTATTTACTATTTGATTGTTGGATTTTATTAACAAGTCCTGTAATTTTGTGTCAAATACATTCGATTGTCCTCACTCGTGTTCTGTTCACTACAATAGTATCATAACGTTCTAAAATGAGGTGATCGTTATCCTTATCTTGAAAAACGGTTTACGTCATCTATGAAACAGCTTTCAAGGGATAAGCCTACTTTCTCAACTTCCCTCTTTTATCTCTTCACAATCTCTTTTTTTATTATGTAACGCATACTTATTTTAGTTCTTCTTTGTACTAATGTTTAAATGTTTAAATAATGATGATAATTAGGATCTTTTTGATGGTACCGTGTATTTTTGACTTCACAAGTCAGAATTTTATCACACGATACACTTCAATTATGTTTCATTTTGTACGGTTATTTTTTGTATTATATACAGTGAACAGTCATTTTAAAACTACAGAACAGTAGAAAATATGTTCTGAGTATGCAGATTAACATTCCAATATTGGTAGTATAACAGATAATTACTTTGTAATTTATGCTTTCTTAATTATTGAACTAAATGTGCTTCATATCAAAGTTAGCGATACTAACTGACTACTGAAAATCTTAAGTAATTGAAGTTTGATTCAAACTTATTCATCTTTAATCAAAAGGTAACTTCTTGAACGTTTAAATAAAATCTTACTAAACATATTGATAACTCTATTCTGTTGTAGTACTGCATAATATGACAGCCAAGGGTGATTGATAATAAACTTTTTTTACTAAATTGTAGATAACTTCGAAATAACTTTCAGAATCTGAAATACTATTTTTATCCGAAAATTTTAAACAGTCTAAAGAGATTCATTATTATGTTCTGAATATATTCAATAACTAGAGGAATAATAGACTTTAAAATGCTAAGTTACTTATTTACTTACGCTTGTTACTCCCAATGGAGTATAGGCCGCCGACTAGCATTCTCTAACCCACTCTGTACTGGGCCTTCATTTCTTGTTCTATCCCATTGTTATTCATTCTTCTCATATCTGTCTCCATTCATTGGCGTAATGTGCTATTTGGTCTTCCTCTTCTCTTCCGGCCTTGAGGATTCAAAGTGAGAGCTTGCCTTGTGACGCAGTTGAGTGCCTTCCTCAATATGTGTCCCATCCACTTCCAGCGCTTCTTCCTGATTTCCTCCGCCGCTGAGATCTGGTTTGTTCTCTCCCATAGTAGGTTGTTGTTGATAGTGTCTGGCCAACAGATCCGAAGTATTTTTCGTAGACAACTGTTAATAAACACTTGTATGATCTGGATGATGGCTTTCGTAGTTCTCCAAATTTCCTCCCCATACAGTAGAACTATCTTGACATTTGTATTGAAAATTCTGACCTTGGTGTTGGTTGACAGTTGTTTTGAGTTCCAGATGTTCTTCAGTTATAAATATGCTATTCTTGCTTTACCGATTCGCGCCTTCACATCTACATCAGATCCAACTTGTTCATCAATGATGCTGCCCAGATATGTAGACGAAGCCTAATGGCCCTCTGGGCTACTGCCGGTTCCAAGCCCGGATAAAGGAAGAGGGTTGGACATGGGGTTGGCGACCCCATACTGTAAAAAACTAACTCGTTAAAAAAACGCTATCTAGAAAAAAACTGGGTTACATATACTTAAACTCTATCATAGCAACTACGACTTAGATAGTTCGGGTTTTTCTAAGTTTTACACCATAGCTTTGCTTTGACGTTTAGTACACAAAATTGTAGTTGTTTGGATAGCTCTTGTGCATATATTCAAAAAAGCAATGTAGCTTGAAAAGTATCATCTGAATGTAATTAACATTTTGGATATACATTAGTTACCGGTTCCCTTAAAGAGGAAAAATACTTTGAAAGTGTTGTTGGGATCAGTCAACACTAATACCTTGTTTTGATTGGCCATAGAAAATGCGCATACCAACCCAGTCGATGATCATTCACTCCCTCATCAATCGACAATTTTTTGATTGTGGCGATCTAATCAAGTTTGAGAAAGTTTTCTACATAGACGGAATCTAATCGATAAACAACACGAAAAGCCGGAGAAGTTGAATAGCTATTCTAGTTTAGGACAATTTATGCAATCAACCAACCAACTTAAGTGCCAGAATTCATTATGTTTAATAAAGATAAGCTTGTGAAGTTGTAATGGGGATTGATAACGAGTTGATTTTAACTGTGTATCACCGATGAGATTGGATTGTTATTATTACACTTTAACACAAATGTTCTGTAGTGGGAAATGTATAAACGATTAAATAATGATATAACCGAGTGGATCTTGATACAATAATCAAAACAGATTTCCACTGATGACACTTGAATAAATATCAAAAATGATTGTTATTCCATAAAATCGTATATATCAGTGTGCCCTAGAATATTAAGTGCAAAAGCTCAGCCATTGATTACGAAAAATATCAATTTCTGTACACACTTTTAAGCAACATAGAACTGTATTGAATAAGCGATTGGTTCTATAACAAAATAGATAGTTCCAATCACTTAACATCATGTATCGAAGTGTAGAATAGAAAAATTCCTATCACACTATTCATTGGCTTAAAATGTTAATTTTTACATGAGCCACTTTCTGTCCAAGCACCAAACCATTGCTGCAAAGATCACACGATTTCCGCTAGTCCTGGGCACAATCATTAGTTTAGCCACAAGTGCACACTGCTAAGGAGTCCCTATTTAAGTCAGAATACTTTTCTCAGCGTACTGTTTTGCTCTCAATACTTTATGAACTAATAATAACTATCATTGCAAGTAGATATGGATGACTGTTAGTAGTGGAATCCAGGACGTGAGTTTCGTTCTATTTAGGACTTGTCAGCTGGATGTACCTGTAACGCAGAGTTGGTGTTCATTCCGGGATTCTAACCCAGCAGCTTCGGTCTCGCATTCGCGTGCGAGACCACTGAGCCACTGCTAACCATCATTCATCTCTGCTTATAACTCTGGTGTCTCCTCATTTGCGGATAAATCTTTCGCCTTTTACTAAAGGTTTCCGTGGGGAGGCACAATGCAGTGAGTCATTTCACTTTTTCCAACTTCGTCCTTGCACGGAGTATTGCCCCCAAATACCCTGGTACGGCCGAGAGTGCGAAGAGTCCGCTCTCCCTCTCGAAATGCTCTCACATGACCACGCGTGCATAGCCTCTGCCAGGAAAGTCCTATTCACTGCCCTCTCATGGCACTACTGTTGTTTACGAAATTGAGAGGACGAAAAACGAATGTCCGGCACTTTAACCGGGTTGGTGGACATGGAAGGCTAGTTGCGAAACCCTGATTCCAGTATCCTGCGGGAACAAATGGCGTATGAACCAATTATTGGTCACCGGCTACCATGGAACTGCATCTCCTGACGTTGTTCCACTGCCTTGTGGATCAGATTTTCAGGCCGAAGGTTCCGGGTGTGGCCCCCTAAGAAAACCACCGGCTTCGGCTTGGGCACCCGGACAGTATCACAATCCTCACACAAATCAAATGAGATTTGTTTGGTGTCTCCTTGTACCAATATCTATGTTTTAAAATAAAATAACAATAAAATGCTTATAATTCTTGTGACTTAAATCAATATTGAGGCCATCCCCACAGATGCACACATACCAATAATAGACTGATCAATTGCAATCCTAAACATCAATAGGCAGTTCCAAATAACCAATACAAAAATGAATTAATGTTAACTGTCTCATTAAATATTATTATCATAAATCAATGCAAATAGTGATTTTTTTAATTGTGCGAATTCGAATCTCATTGATTATTTCAATTAACTTCCTTAAGATTGCAGATTTATACTGGTTGTTAACGAGTTCATATACTGATAAAAACTGGTTGCTTTGCTGCTGAATGCTTAGATTACTATAACGAAAGTCTTTATTCATACTGGTTAGTTAAAACACTAAGAGAATAGTCATCAATTAGTAACCTAATTAAAGGTGTATCACTGTTTCAAGTAAATTGTAATATAATTAAGTTGCAGTTTAACAGTTAATGTCAACATCGTAATGTACATTCAGTCACATGACATTTTTTAAAAGCTTCATTCTTGGGTGAAACATTTATTGAATACTTCGTGATTTTCAGTGGTTGTTTAACTGATATCTTTACTTACTAGCATCAGTGCAACTCCTTGTGTATGTGGAGCAATTTCTTTTTCATGTTCGGAGTATAACAGAAGCTTCCCTGTAGCTAGTCGTTGTTGTCCAACCTGCGTCCAATGTATTTCACTGATTACAAACACCTCCAGGTTGTATCTTCTCATTTATGCAGCAATCTGGATGACTCTCCCTGTCTCCCACATTGTACGAGCATTTCATGTATTTAAATTAATGGTTGCTATAGTTGTCAGAAGAGGCATCAGCTTCGTGACTTCCGATGGAACCCGGCTTTCACTATGAGGCATTGTAACTCTTCTAAATGACGACCTTCTAACTCCCAGGGTTGAATTTAGATGGTTTGAATTATTTTTTCTAGTTAGCATTCATTTTAGCAAGTTAGTTTTCTACAAGATGGAATCGCTAACCCTATTACCCAATCCTCTTCCTTTATCAAGGCTTGAGACCGGCAGTAGCCTCAGAAGAGCTCCAGAAGGAGTTTACCTGATATCTAATATTTCCTATTATATTTCTGTTTTTGTTGTTTTCAAGTTTAAATTTCATTTACCTGATGTTTTCTTCATTCTTTATTGATAGTCTGGTAAAAAGATTTTGGCAAATATTCATTATTTTGCTGCTACTAATAAAATGTTCTCAGTTGATAAATATTCAGAAAATTTAACAGAAATCTGTAAAAAGCGAAATATCAATTGTAACTTATCATACAATTTAGTTGAAGTAAGTAATTCATTATTGTTTTAATAATACGATATCAGCTGTAATATTTTAAGTTATATATATACAAACTGATACTGACTTAACTATATTTGTTTTCTTTGCCTGTGTACATCCTAACAAGATACTTTATAGCTAGTTGTCTATTGATGTTAGATAATGCATTCTTTGTGTGTACTTTTCAAGGATGAATCTCTTATCTTGAAACTTAATTGTTGATTCGATATATCAAAATAGCATACTTTTATTCTATAAAGACACTGAAAAGCATTCACAATTATCAAAATGCTGTGAATAATGATGCAAGAAAACTTGGAATGCATTTGTCTCCATCATTGAATGTCAAAGGTTGCTTCTAGGACTGGTCCTTGTCAAGCGTGTGATCACTTTATTTATCCTTGATTTTTTTTACAGACCCTGATAGATAGGTGAATCACAAAAGTTCGGTAAGAATAGAAAACCTGTGGATGGATCTACCTGTAGGGTAAATGATTGGAAGTACGCTGAGGGGCAGTTCATACTGTCTTGCCCAAATACGTGTTACATGGCTTATAAAACTGTAAAACATACATAAACTATACCTTGCTCATTCATATTGGAACTACCAAGTTAGTAATGTTGGGGTTAGGTATAGAGTTCTAGGTACAAAAGAGCAAGTCGATTGATCATTGAATCCATACAACTAAGACCGGTCACCTTAAAGTCTCGAACCATTAATCACGATTATCATGCAGTTGTTATCCGAGAATTATATACTATTTCGAGCTGCTCAAGTCAATGGTCAGTAACTTCATAGACTGATATCGTCTTAGGTTTTGTTCGCTCTGAACTTTCTGCTTAATCTTTTACTTTAAAGTATCCAGTGACTATGTATGCCTGATACACTTGTCCTTTAACTTCCTCATTCTATCAAAACTCATAACCTTATTAATCACTTTTTATCAGTTCTATTATACTTGACTTCAGCATTACTTACTCAGTGATGTTTATATAATTTATAAACGATTGATTCATTGCATCGTGTAGACTTGTTGGTAAATGTCATTAAAGTATAAGTTGAGAACTTGACCATTGTTTCGCGTAGTTGAACTATTTAACAGGTAATCACTCAGATGTATACTTATATAGTGTTTTAATTAATCCACTTTGGACAGTCAATGAATATCGCGTTAACCGATACACTTGATTTGTACAACTAAGAATCAAGTACATACAAATATGTGCATTCGGTTACTGAGTTCATGAAAATCATATTTTTGATTTTTGATGTCGGTGTACCAACTTAAAGATGGCCAAATCAACACGTGGCATCAGTGCTTGAAGTCACCAACTTCTGGTCTGATTCATGTTAGTAGATGCAGATTACTGAGCTGGGGTTCACGCGACTATCGTAACAAATGGTTGATGACTCTTGGTGAAATAGCTCAGAATCGATCACAATGGCGTAGGTGTATACACTCTCTGTCTTCCTTTAAACTATGCGATTAAAACTGTTTTATATCTTTCTTTCTACGAACTAAGCCTTTGTTTCTGTACTATGCCCTTATACACAACCTTTCTTTTATATATTACTACCAATGAATTAACTACTTCTATGAATTTGTTCATCTTGTTGTGCTAATGATGTGTAGAAACTTGGACCGATGCATATATGCGCCTAGTCCTACGTTGTAGCTGACTGACTGACTAAAGTTGATTATTTTAAATGAACTGTCAGCTATCATTTTCAATAATGACGTCTGACATTAGTATTTAATGAATTATTATTTCCACGTAGTCTGATCAATTTCACAAATTCATTTACTGTTGAGTCGCCTTTCCGAGAACTTCAACGGAGCCTCCAGAGGCCCTAAAAGAGCCGAAAAGTCCTAGCCAATCAGAGCATGATGGGGCTTTCTAGAATATCAACGTGGCGTGCTACTATTGGTCAGTAGCACAATATGTCTTTCAGAGGATTGGCCAAAATTTGATGTTGATTTAACAGATGTTAACATCTATAAATACCCGTGTTTTTCTGTACAAAAAGGAACCTTTGGAGAAGTGTTTTTCGCTAATTTTCGCCTTTTCTCTCAAGTTCAGGTCACCACGTAGTTCTAGCTTGCGGGTTACCAGAATAGCTTAGGAACCGAATAAAGCATTCGAATTCACAAGACTTAACATTTAATCTTCTCGAATTTTATTATCTATGGCTATTTTGTTTTTCCATCTAATACTGTTACTACTGTGGGATTTGTATGAATCATTTCATCTGGCTTTAGTGATATGGTGTTGTAGCAAGTGGGACTGATGCACATGTGTTCAAGATTCTACGTTGTTTATTATTAAATTACTAGTTTGTTTCATCATTATTACTGCTGATAAAGATAAAGTCATTTTAATTATTATCAGTGTTTCTGCGCTCATATTGATTAATACATTTCTTAAAGATATCAACATACCATCTAAGATTCCTAGCTTAATAGGATGTGTTGATAAATGTTTTATGGTAATCTACAATCGTTTTTATTGTAATTCGCTTGTGAAATGGTATTGTAGATAATGAGAGCAAGAAGCTTCATTGAATATTGTCAGTGATAACAACATCGCCAAAAATCTTTCGAACTTGCTGGATGACTCACATAAAATAAACACATCTGAAAACTTTTTACTACAGTAAACGTCATATATGAACAATTTAGTCTCATTGGGATATGTTGACTATCGGGAAATTTTGGACGGGATGACAATCAAATCGTTATCCCATTTTGTATTACTGATGCTCTTATGCATTGTGTGAATGGTAGACCTTAATTAGTAATTGATTTCTTCGTCATTCAAGGCTTTTCTTTCAGAAGATGATTTATTTCCTAAATCACAACTTAGAGTTAATCGATCTTATATCGTTTGTCGCATTTTGAGATATATCGTGATGGTATTTATAGACCAGAAAGTGGATAAGCTTCTGTTTACTTTCTTCCAGATATCGTATAAGTAAAACTAACATATTCGAGTTTTTAAGTGAAAAAAAAGTATTACACAATACTATTTGATTATGATGGAATTTTGTTCTCTGAGCTGAATGGTTTGGTCGTGGTGCTTTCATCGTTCTTCTGAACGGCATCATTAACACAAACTCCAGGTAGAAGTGAAGTGTTCAAATATCTCCACATGTGGTTCACAGCTTGTTCTGTACACCTCGATGTTGATTGGCACTTGTCGACCTTAAATCCGTCATTGTTTACTTCTTTGTTTTGGTTGTGTCTCCCATTGGTTTGATTTTTGTTCCTATATTTGTGCATGATTTTCCTGATTGGTTGATAAGTTAAATCGATTTCAATGTATTTGTTTATTGTGCTGATGGTGTCGTTCAGAAGAACGATGAAAGCTCCACGACCAAATCATTCAGCTCAGAGAATAAAACTCCATCAAGATCATCCATCTGAGCTAAAAATCTCCAATATTTGATTATAAATAATACTAATCATTTAGGTTTAAGCAACCCTAATAATTTACCACAGTATTTTAAGAGTAATATTACTTCTCCTTGTAACAGTTACCTCAGCAATATTGTTATATACATAGATACCATCGAGTTAAGTATAAAATAGGAAATTTCTGTATCAACTATGTCTGTATGAGTTCTTATTTCTCTGGGTTTTTTTCAGGTAGATTCACAAGCTAGTGAAGCAGTATTTCAACACATGGAAACTAAAGAACTTAAACGAATCAAAGTATGTTGTTAAGTAGAGTTTGGGTGTGTATTACATTTCTTTTTCAACTAAATTATTCAACAATATCTAAATGTTCGTACAGTACTTTGCCTTCCATTAGTTGGCTATAGGTTTAAATTTCATTTTTGTAATGAGCACATTTTATTTACTACTTTACATGTAAAAAGTGTGCTCTAAAACCGAGTAAATGAACCTGTGCTTGATAACTAATCTGAAATATATAGAACAGAAAAGTGACAATGATTAAGATATTAATGACTAAGTGCTTTAACTCCACTCTAACTCACTGAGATTATGTGATAAGCTGTTTATACTCTGATTTCCACTGCCTAGTATACCTTAGTGACAAGACATAACACTTGGATAGACTACTTCATTTGATGAGTCCGAAATCAAAAGAAGAATTTATAACAAGCTAAAATACATTTCAAATAATGAATAGTAAAAATTGTCGTAGTAAAAATGTTAATAGATATGTAAAATCTACCTTAAAAATTATCCTACCGTCTTTTCACTGTCTGTCTTCTAGCGCTGATTTATCGAAATGAAAATCAGTTAGACTGTTCCTGTGTGTTGCTGTTTCGAATATGCATTGTTCGAGGCCTTATCATGCTGATAGTTTATAAACAGTGACTAAGACCATGTCTTGTAGATCTCAATCAGTAAACCTGGATCTACCAATACTTGTCAGACAAAACATAAATCGACTGTATTATCACCTTTCATCACTACTTACCTGATCTTAACGTTAGCAATGCTCTGTTGAGAGTCATGATTGAAGCCAAGGAATTGGCTCATATCTTCATAATTTTTAAGGCTATATCTCTCGGCGATAAATACATAGCTATGTACTCTATGGTTGACAGATTTCCACTCATTGATTTAGCCAGTTTTGTGGTGTATGCTACTTATGTCGACAGATATAAGTAGTATATGTAACATCCGTGAAAAGTGGAATGTCTGACAGCAAAAGGTTGAGAAGTTCCAGTTGAAGAGAACAGGATTGTAGACAGAGAATAATTACAATAGCAATGAAGGAAAAATGGAATTTACGATAATTGATGGGACATTTGCAAATAAAGCATTTAATGTATGGTTATTTACATTTTACAAAAGAACTTTATTATTGTGCATTGATTAATAAACTGACTGCCCCCATCTGAGTTCTCGTTCACTACAGTTGAACGTTCACTTAATCGATTACCATCAGTTTTACACCTTTAACAATAATTTCACATTTATGTATTACTTAAATACATACACATGTGACTTTTAATTATCTGGTAACCGTCTTGGACAAGATATTTTTTTCAAACAAAACACCATTGACGACTAAATGAAAAAAATAGTACAAAATAATAATACGTTTTAATTTCCATAGTAAACAACCTTAAACTATACACGTACAACAATCCCAGTACTAAAGCGTTTTAGGAATTTCAAGGTCACAGTACCAATTTCAGTACCGGATGCTCACGTTCGATCGGTTCACAGCGGAATTTAGAAAAGACATTATAATTGAGCGCCTACAGCAAATAAGACTACTGAAAAGATCCTTTATTTATGATTGTGGTAATCAAATGATTTGTGGGCTTTGTTCAGACTTACGTTTTGATGTTGTCTTTCTACGATTCCTCTGTATTTCTCACATTTGCTCAGATCTCCTTTCTTTGGTATCTTGATGAGGTGCCTTCTTTCCAGTCCATCTGCTCTTGTTCTTCTCCCAAGATCTGCCTGAATAGAATGTGAAGCGTGTTTGTGGTTACTTCTATGTCTGGCTTCAAAGTTTCCGCTGCTTTTTCGCTCCTGATTTGCTTGGTAGTCATCCTGATTTCTTCTACTTCCGTGAAGTGACATCTATTGAAAGGTTTATGTGCGCTGCTTCGATGTCCGTTGGATTCACTGGAGCTGGTCCATTCAAGAGTTCCTCCAAGTATCCTACCCATTTGGTCCTCTGTTCTTGGGTCTCGGTTTTTTTGACCGGTCTCTCTGGTTTATTATATCTCTCTGACAGTTTCTTCGTCGTGTCAAATGGTTGTTTCACATTTCCTTCTCTTATAGTTTTTTCCGCTGTCCTCGTTAGCTCTTCCACGTTTTTCTGCTTGTCAGTTCTAACGCTCCTCTTCTACCTTGAATTTCTCTGCACTTGTTCGGCTGTTGTTAATTGCTGTCTTCTTGGTCGTCTTTTCTTGAAGTGTGTGCTGGGTTTCCATTCCTTATGATGATGCTTGTTACTGCACAGAACCTCGTGACACGTTGAAGTTAGCGCTTCTTTCATTATTTCCGGTTGTCCTTTATAGTGGTTTCTCCATTCAGTAGATCCTGTAAGGCTTGGAACCGGTTATTGAGAGTCTTCTCGAATTCGTTGTGTCTGTCAGTATCTCGAAGGAAGGATGTATTCAACCTTTTTAATGCTGTTTGTCCAGTTGTCCAATGCTTCTTTAGCTTCAGTTTCATCTTCGCCACAACCAGGTGGTTATCTTTAGTTATGTCACTCCCTCTCCTGGTTCTCACATCTTCCATTGACCTTGTGAATGTTTTCCTGATTCAAATAAAATTTATCTGGTTCTTCGTCGTTTGGTCCGGTGAGATCCATGTAGCTTTGTGAATGCGCTTGTGTGGGAATATTGTACAACCTATAACCAACTTAATGAATGCACTTAGATTTGCAAATTCACCGTCTACAGGAGTTGGAAAATCCTCATTCCAAACCATAGTGCACATGAGCTCCAGGAACTTGAGGGGACAAATGGCGTATGAACCAATTATCGGTCACTGGCTATCATGGAACTTCATCTCCGGACGTTGTTCCGCCCCCTTGTGGATTAGACGTTTATTTCCGGACAGTATCCCAGCCCACACACAAATCAAGTGACTAGTGTGGTACTTATGTATTCGGTGCCCCTTTGTACCAATATTTATGTTTCAAATAAATAAATGATTCCAAAGTCACATTTATCAGCGTTAAAATTCAATCATTTACGTTTAGTTTTTATCGTGAATTACTTATTCTATGTCAATTAACTAGGTCACAATTTGTTTACATTAACAAGTAATATAATTATTCATTAATTCATTCTAAACCATGTCACACATCGTTTCTGACCATTGGTTAGAAAAATGACACGGAGCCTAATCATGTAGTCTACGTCTACCAAAATATAATATTGAATAAAGCCATTAATAATAATAATAATAATAATAATAATAATAATAATAATAATAATAATAATTGCTCAGTTCAACAGTCTTTGTCTGCATGAATTAATTCTATGCCGGTATAGGCAAGTTTGTAGTCTCAAAATACATCAGCGATGCTTCGAATACATCTTTGATCGAATACTAGTAACTTGCGAATATACTTATTAAGGGCACGTTTCACAGTTGTAAAGTAAATCCGGAAGGGCTTCCGCTTAGCGAACTAGTCTTTCGAATCGCAAGTGAATATCTCGCTTACTCTGAAAATAAGCGATGCTACAAACTCTAACCGGAGTTCCCAAATCTCTGTCAACATTTCGTCAGGCACCAGCCCACTGGGATTGATAAAACTCCTGAGGTAAGTAAATCGGTCAACGCACTCAACTACTTTACTCATTGTCGTTGATTCAGGCAGTGCCGCAGGCCGAAGCAAGATTGCTTTCATCGTTCCTTCAGGAGGTCAAAAAACTGTATTTTGTCTCCGTCTTCACCAATCGTGACCGTGTCATCTGCGTATTATTAGTCATCAAGTGAATCTCCTGGTAGGATATCAATCCCTGGAAAGTCAGACAATATTTTAAAATAATATGTATGACAAATATAAATAAAAATGAGTAAAGCGGACAACCATGACGAACAGCACTTGAGGTAACAACTTTCGTACTAGTCCTCTCCAATCTCTGACTCGATCAGTAGTGTTCAAGTAGAGAGCTCATTCAAAGAAATGTACTGTTTTATATATCATGATAACTGAATTCAACTACATTTGTTGGAACATTTGTTCCTTAAGATTTCACCGTAATAGGCAGGTCAATCGGAAAGCCGTAATACTAAAAACAGTAAACTAAAGATCTGACAGTGAGATCTTACTGCCAGTTGTAGTGAATTGTGATGGCATTAAAGTGCTTTCCTCAAACAATCAACATTTTGGTGACATTGCTTTCCAACAATAGAAAGAAAGGATTAGTAAAGATTGAGCCTAATAGTAACTTACATCGTCTTCTCTTACCGGCAATGAAATCACAAAACTACAGGGCTATCGTAACAAAACAACCTAAAGAGGCACCATTTGTGACTGTTCTCAAACAGTTATCACTTGAGCTCTATAATCACACACCCAAATCATGAAAAGTCACCAGTAACCGATCCTTAGTTTTTACAAAGATAAGTGCCTTAAAAGCAAACATTCGTACTATATTGAAAATAAACTTCAGTCAAATTCATTCAACAATAAGTCATCGGTAAGTCGAATCCCGTTTAATTAACAGATTTTTTCACTAGGACATTTAGCCATGTCAGTTATCTGCTTACTGAAATCATTCCTCTTAATAGATGTATTATTGAGTAATTAGGTTACAAATTAACATGTGATGCTGTTAATTGACTACAATTGATCAGTACCTTTTAGTGTATGGTCTTCCCGATTAAATTGTCTCGATATTAGTACTGAATGATAAGTTTTAATTAAAGTTATATGGCGGTTGGAAGAGGAAAACAGAGATAGGCATTTCGTCCTATTCAGAACTGGTCAGGTGGGTGTACTTGCACCCCAGTTTCATTGTACACATTTACACTTGAACTCAGTACTTTTCACTTCAAACGCGATTGGGTTATTCACTGAGTCCCACTGCAACCATCCATACTAATACATTTAGTTGATGTGTTCCAAATAATGTGAAATTCCTATCCTATATTCCAATGTTAGCCATTATTCCAACTTTACCGTGTGATAAATATTTTTAGTTTTGATAGATGAGAATTTTACTTCTCACTCGCTGATCAATTATTGTCTTTTAATATTCCAGCGACTCATTTAGTTGTATAAGATGTTCGAAAAGAATGTAACATGAACCAAATCTTATAAATTGTTGACTCATGTATTGTCGTATGTAGTATATTCTTTTGATCATATGATGGTACACTTGGTCACCGCAAACTTAAAACTCATTCTGATCAAACAGTTACTACAAGCTTATTATTTACGCATATCAAATACTACTACTAATAATACTTCATTTTGACTTTTTAAATTACCAACATTCCACAAGTTCTTTCTATCGTTGAGGAAGCGTTATCATCAAGAAATATCCCAATATCATTTCGTTTTGTTGTTATTGTTTTGTCTATTTTGCAGTATGACTTTTTACATATCACTCCACCAATGTGTTGTCCGGAAATTTTAACTAAAACACCAAAATTAACTAATCCAAAAGCATCTGATTATGTAGATGTCAATGTGAAAACATTACGTCATAATCATTATGATAATATATTTGCCCTTGGCGATTGTGCTGCATTGCCCACATCGAAAACTGCTGCAGCTGTAGGTAAGTTAATAAACATATTAATATTATTATGTTGAATGCCAACAACCAAAATCACATGACAAGTCACTGGTCGAAATCCCGATTCTAATTTGGTCTATTTCGCGTTGACTAATTACTCTATGACTTAATGTTGCTGAATGGACCAATTTCGCATCCAAACAGCACTATTAACTTCAAGTCAACAACTAAGTTCTTATTGGTCCACCTGTCTCCAGCTTCACTCTCTCTCTCTCTCTGTGTGATTTGCCTTCGAGATATTCGTCTGCCAAAGTAAGGATGCGTTTACTGCGCAGCAAATCGATCCGTCCTACTTTATGGCATTGAGACATGGCCGGTAAGAGTATAGAATATTCTTAGGTTACTAGTATTTGACGACAGGTGTCTTCGAAGCATTGCTCGTGTATCCTGCGAACACCGAGTACGTAATTAAGTTGTTAGGAAGCGGGTACTAGGTAAGGATGGCAAATCAGTTGATAAGGTATTGAAACTATATCAGTTGAGATGGCTGGGACACGTACTACGTATGACAAACCACTGACTGCCCTGACGTGCGATGTTTTATGGAATAAAGCTAGGGGTGGCCAGACTAAAACATGGTAGAAATTCATGAAGTTGCTGACAAGTGAACTGAACCTTGTTGGTAGATGTATACCACCTGGTAGGGATCCACAAGACGGTAGCAACCGATGGTTATGGCAACTCTAACTGATGAACATATGTACGAAGTTCTACATTATTGCTGACTGACTGACATAATCCTAAGTTTGTTATTATTCTATACGTTTCATTGATTGATCTCATATACCTAATTTATAATCATATTTCTTAGGTTAAACTATTCACTACCTCTTCATTTTATTCACTTCTTTCAATTCAATTAATGTTAAGATATGGCAAATCAAAACCTATACACATTAAAACTCAGATCCTATTATGATCATGATTTACTGATTTTTGATAATACTAGTCAGTTGATACATAAGTTTAAAGTTTATAATAAATTGTTTTTAATAGATGGCAATTTATGTTTAGCTTAATTATTATACAAGAATATAATTTTGTATTGAGATTGTTGTGTTATCAGAAACATTCTCAATCACAATTGATTGATCAATGGATGATGATCAATGTCATGTGTGTCATGTCCTTCTTGGTGCAGATCGAATGCTATCGACCAAGTTGCAATGTGGTCACATTGCGTGCACTATGTTGAGATTAGATGGTGGTTGGAGGGTTTCCTGTTGACTACCTCCCACCACCATCTAATGTCAACACTTTCAATTTTCGTTTAATGTCTCCACATAGAGTATATTTGGATATTTTCGTAAACAATTTTATACGTGATTCTTACGTAATAAAGTGTAATGTTCATTAAGAATTTCGTTTCATGGTCTAAGGTTTACTTAGCCTTGTGTTTTTCATCCGATAAATAAGGTAGCAACAACATTAAATATGTTTTTTTGACAGACGTTCTTGAATGACTCTATGTATTTTAAAGGGAAGTATTAAGTGAATATTACATTCTAGTATACAGAACTTACTAACTAAATGTCCTGGTAAGGTCGAAAGTGGAGAGAGTCAGCTCTCCATCTTCAAATGCTCTCACATGACCACGTACATACAACCACTGTGAGGGAATTTCAACTCACTGCCTTCTCGTGGCGGGGGTATTTACGAAATTGACAGAAAGAAAATTGAATTTCCGGTGCTTTAACCAGGTTAGTGGAAATGAAGGTTCCACATAAGGAAGTGGCGCATATATATTTGGTGCCCTCTTGTACCAATATTTATGTGTTCAAATAAAATAAATAAAAACATAAGTTGGAAAACCCTCATTGCAAACCATTGGTGCACATGAGCTTCAGAACCTGAGGGAACAAATGACGTATGAACCAATTATTATTCGCCGGCTATCATAGAACAGCATCTCCTAACGTTGTTCCGCTCCCTTGTGGATTAGACCTTTAGGTCTAAGAATACGGATGTGGCCCCTCAAGGAAACCACTTGCTTCGGTTTGGGAACTTGAGCAGAATCATAGCCCATACACAAATCAAGTGACTTGTGTGGCACATATGTATTCGGTGCCCCTTTGTACCAATATTCATGAGTTGAAACAACCATGTTTAGTTATCCGAATTGATCATAGCTCGATAGATGCATTCGCTCAATCTGTTTTTCCTCTTTAAATCTTATTCTCGTGTATTCCTCCACATACATCTTTCCATTTCATCTTCTCACGTCATATTCTGTAGTTTATATCTTTCTTGTCATCATTTAACGTAGAATTATAGCGATCTTTTTGCAAATCATCGTTTTAATTTGGTTTTATTATTACTGATTTAGTTATGACAAGTTAGTCTAATGTATATTTGTTCGTATATTTGTACGTTGATTATATTTGATTAATTATTCATTTAGAAATCATCATTATTCGTATTATCAGACTGGGGGTTTGTGGATGTTGTAGAGATTTTAATAGTTGAATTCATGAGTTGATCTAGGCTAGACGACCACTGAATACCTAGAAGCACTGAATGACCATTTCGTCCTAATATGGGACTTCTGAGTTCGAGACCCGCGTGTGAGGTCTTAGATGCACACTACTGAGCAGTCATATACTGGGACGGAACAGCTATCCAGTTCTTCGAGGTTTCTACTAATGGTCTAGCTTAAATCAACTCATGAATTTAACTATTAAAATTATTCATATTATCTATTTAATTTTACTAGGCAACTATGAGCTTTATCAATATGTTTCATGCTTTGTATTATTTTAACAACAACAACAACAACTGGTGCTTTATAATCATTACATGAACAGTATTAGTAAATCAATGAATTATTTCAGTTTGCTTCACTATAGACAAGTTTGTTTCTTTTTTCATGAAGCGTTTTGTTATTGAAAAATAAAATCAGTATCAGATTTATTGATTGTATAACGTGTATAGTCTACGTTACCTAATGAAGGTATGTAGAAAGATTAGAACATTCATTACTTAAATTCATATATATATATATATATATATATATATATATATATATATATATATATATATATATATATATATATATATATATATGCTTAATTTACCAATCACATTATTGCTATTTTGGCCACTTTATTAATGAATTTACGTTATTGTCAAAAAAGATAATTACTTGATGACACTCCGTTGAAAGCAGAATAATCGAAGGTGTTATTTTGATGAGATTGTTGTGTGTTTCGGGTAGATTTTACTAAATTCACTCATGGTATTTGAAGTAGTTTGGTGTTTTCATTATTTCAAATTGTTAGATAAGAGAAAATAAACTTTCATTTTATGATTGAACAATGTTATTATCTTATTTAGACTATCGTTGAAAATTTAGGGGCACTGAACAGCCGTTTCAACCCTAATGGGACTCTTCAACAGAGCGTGTGCACGAACCCAAAACCTTGATTCGAACTCAAGACCACTGGTCTCACGTGCGACAGTATTGATGTCTAACATTAATCAACACACAATGTTACGTAACGACCTTCTATCATTTGTGGTGAGTAACTGTCTCACACAAGAAATGTTTAAACTGCTCTGGTCGTCGCTTCTCTCTAAAGCTCTAGAAGTTTCATCTAGAAGTTAAGCAGTTGTGAACGCACGATTATTTTCAGTTTAAAGTTTTTATTGGGGATTCCGCTTTAGTCAGTGATCTAAGCGCTACGCGTTTGCGTGCGTGCCAGAATGTCTTGGGATCGATTCCCGGCTGCGTAGTCATATATATGTGTTTGAACATACTTGGTTATCATTCTCATTCTATTAGCTTGTGACTTACAATCTCTCGATCGCTATCCTTAGTGTAAATCAATATACGACTGTAAGATCATTTGAGCTATTGTGTTCGTTCTGGAAAACGTCATCGACGCTTACTTTTACATGCAAACTGTCTAGTTCAGAAAGCAAAATCCTTTACAATTTCAAAAATTTAAGGGTAATTGTTTTTTATTTCATAATGTTTGTTCGGATCATTTTGAGCTAATAGCATTATCCACTTTGTTACCACTTAACTCTCATAGAAAATAAATTTTAACCACTTCTGATATATTTCTCTGTAACCTTCTTCTTTTTGAACAAGAGTCGTATGTCAAGTACATCATTCATTCACTCCAAAAAGTAGACAATTTGATATACTTAGATTTACCAACTAGTTGTGGTTAGTGTCTTTTATTGGGTTTTTTTCTCTTATCTCTGTTACTAACTGTTAATCCAACTTCTTTATCAATCATAGAGCCTAATGATACAATCATAGAATTCAGATCAAAGTAGAGGTGTTAAGAGAGTAGATTTGAATCGGTTACTGAAAAGTTTAAAACTCAAATCTTTTCTACAAATAACCTGCTTTTTTTTCATACACCTGATTTATTACAATGAAATGTATCTTTGTTCATTTTAAGTGCCTAAGTACATGAAAACTTATCAATTATATCAATTACCATCTACTGTGAATACGTTGAGACTATAATAGAATAACCTTTAAAGCTAAATGACAACATGAGACTGATCAATTGCGGTCCGAAATAACATTGGGAAGATACAAGTAAAACAACACCAAGTGAAATTAAACTTCACCCCATTGCATAACCAGGTGGCTACCAGGACTCTGTAGCTAAGTGGATAACGCGATAGCGTTTGTATACGGACGGTACTGGGTTCGAATATAGGAGTGAACAGCAACTTTGGGATGCAGGTACGTTCAGCTGACGAGTCCAAAAACAGGACGAAACGCGCATCCTGGATTCCACTGCGAGCCACTATCCATCTTTGCTTAAAAAAAGTGCCTTATAACTACATCGAGGCAATTCGCACGGGATGCACATATGCCAATGTGAGACTAATCAGTTACAGTCCTAAACGGCAATGGGAAGATACAAGTAAAACAACATCATGTGAATTTTTACTTTTGTGAAATCTTAAACATTTTAGTAACCGACACCAATCATTTATTCAATAATCGATATTTATATTAAAGGTCTCGTTTTTTGGAGTACACAGCTTGAATGTGTCATAACCTGTATATACCGTCTACGTTTTGGTCACAATTTATTCATTACTTGTATTGATTGATTTATCTTTTTTATATATATTTATGTATGTGTGTTATTTTCTATTTATATGCAACTTACAACCCGATACATGCTCATCGATTCAAGTTGTCACAGCGAAACAAAATTATGCAAGTAAATTCTAGAGTATTAGAAGTAGTAATGGTATCAGTAGTAGTCGAGACCATTCGAAATAGAAGAACGAAAAAAAGGTAATAAGGAAATTTCGGAACTCCGGACCTTGGGGAAATTAAAGACTGAATGTCCCTGCGCTAGTATAAAGGATTCTGATCCATGTCACCCAAAGTTTCTAACCATTGGTTACGATAGTTTCACTAACCGTAACTGGCTTACTACACCCACTTGCATGAGTCAGAATAACAGTTAATGACATCATAGAATAATACCATGGTTTTGTCGCCCGCACAACAAACCACTGTGCGATCCTCAGTAGACGGAGATTGGGGATATGAAACACTTGTTCTAACCATATCAGTTGATAAAGAGTTATTTCACAAAAGATTTTGTTATCTTCACACAATACTCCATGCCTGGCATCAGTATAACTCACTTATTGGTGCTGAAATATACGACCGTTCGTTCAAAGTCTTAGATAGCATCTAGAAGCTGGACCTGATCGCATCTGACTGGTCTCGATCTCTGACCGTCTCAGTTTACAAGAATGGACAAAAATCCTATGTTGATAATGACAAAGGAATTCTTTCAAATAATATAATCCCTAAAATATTAGCCTCAATAATATTTCGACGTCTAATCGGGGCTTGTGACGAGCAAACTACAGAAAACCAAGCTGGTTTTAGACGTGAATGTTTAGACCAAATATTCACCCTTCGGTATGTCCTGGAACGGAGACATACTTTTCGACATCCGACAATATTTGTATTCCTCGACTTTAAGGTGGCGTTTGACACCTTTGATCACGAAGTTCCGTGGTAGTTTCTGTCATTGAAAGGCGTACCAAAGAAGTACATTCACGTTGTACATACTCTACTCGTAAATTAGAGGCCAAGTAACAGCTTATGGTGAATTTTCATTGGAATTAATCACTTCTGGTGGTGTCCGTCAAACTTGTCCACTTTCCAAATTTTCATTTAACTCTGTCATAGATATGCTTTCAGAGATAACACTCATGATCTTAATTTTCAGGTTGTGATCTACCAAGAGATTCACTTGTTGAATTCGAACACACAGATGATATAGTTATGTTTGGTTTAGACGGTGATAAAATGCATGGTTTTTTACCACGTTAGGCACGAGTGCAAGCATGTATGGGATACGATCCTCTCACTTCAAACACAAAATGATGCTCCATTATTGACCTGCGTCAGTGCCTATGGAATTCGCCTTAATAATTTCGTCTCTCTGAGCGAATGGCATATGACAACTTTCATTAATGTTCATACATATGAGGTTAAATTTCGCTACCGACTGACTGTTTGAAGATACCTTTGTTCAAATACGAATATCCGTTACTCATCTATATGTGTATAAATTTGATTGAACAATTAGTGTAAATTACTAGTATAGGGGTTGTGGCGATTATTAAGTTTTTGATTGAGATCACAAACCGATTGATGTTATACCACCTTTGGAAACCAGGAAGCACTGAACCGCCGTTTCGTCCTATTGCGGGACTCTTCAGCAGTGCGCATCCACCGTCCCGCTCGTGAGACCGAAGGCCTTGGGTTCGAATCCCGCGAGCGGGATCGTGGATGCGCACTACTGAGGGGTCTCGCAATAGGACGAAACGGCCGTCCAGTGCTTCCTGGTTTCCAAAGGTGGTCTAACATCAATCAGTTCATGATCTCAATAAAAAAATTAGCGTAAAACCTGATGACAGTCTAAGCACAGACAATGTTGTTCACTAATGTCATATTCGATTTGGTATTCAATCAGTTCTACCCTACTGAAAGACAACTGTTATCATATTAATCACAGATTTCCCGTCATGCATTACACATAAATTGAGTTAATTCATTCTTTTATGGTGTATTATTTATAGCTGGTCAGGTGGGAACATTAGAAAAGAATATCTGTGATATTATTAATGGTGGTCAAGGAAATGTTTCTGAAGTGAGTGTTTATACTTCTTTTTGTGATTTTCAATGTCTGATATTTGTTTGAGTCACTTTACTTACGTAGTTACTTACGCCTGTTACTCCCAGTGAAGCATAGGCCACTGACTAGCATTACCTTACCCACTCCGTACTGGGCCTTCATTCCTTGTTCAATCCAATTGTTATTCATTCTTCTCATATCTGTCTCCGTTTCTCGGCGTAATGTGCTATTTGGTCTTCCTCTTCTCTTCCGGCCTTGAGGATTCAAAGTGAGAGCTTGCCTTGTGACGCAGTTGAGTGCGTTCCTCAATATGTGTCCCATCCACTTCCAGCGCTTTTTCCTGATTTCCTCCTCCGCTGAGATCTGGTTTGTTCTCTCCCATAGTAGGTTGTTGCTGATAATGTCTGGCCAACGTATCCGAAGTATTTTTCGTAGACAGCTGTTAATAAACACTTGTATCTTCTGGATGATAGCTTTCGTAGTTCTCCAGGTTTCTGCTCCATACAGTAGAACTATCTTGACATTTGTACTGAGAATTCTAACTCTAGTGTTGTTTGACAGTTGCTTTGACTTTCAGTTGTAAATATGCTGCTCTTGTTTTGCCTATCCACGCCTTCACATCTACATCAGATCCACCGTGTTCATCAATAATGAGTCACTTTATCTAATGTTAATACGTTCATCATGAGATTTAAAGGTGTTTGGTCTAATGCTTGATGGGTATATAGTTTTATTTAGGCACAAATCAAGTATCCACTACTACTGGATCTTGGTTTTTATTTGTTTCTTAGTAGATATTCACTAGTAATGAACATCAATCAACCTCATTCTTTATAAACTCTCTAATGTAGTTAATAAGATAGAATAATGGATGAAATTTACAGTGATATTCGAGTCAAACTATTCGAATTATTTTCAATGTACATTTGTAAAAATATGTAATTTATAAATATCAACTGTATAATGCCAATTGAATTCAAAGAAGCAAATATTTCAACCATTTGAAATGATAGACTGGGAGATCTCTGTTTTTCTGAGAACAATTCAGAATCGTACATCTTCCAATCTCATAAATGTGGTCTAGTGAACCGTTAAGTAGTGTTGATTATGACTATTTGCTGTTACTGATTGTGTCCAAAATCTGATATTGATATATGGTGTGTTACGCTCTAATCCTCCAACTAACTACTTGAGCGAGAACACAAGAGTGACAGAGAAAGTGTATTAGACTACTGAATAAAATGAACAAATACTCATTCATACATATACTACTCTATCCTTATAAAATTGACCCCAATAAAATGCACTTGACCTTTGTGTCACTTGTGATTGCCATCGATTAACTTTCTCATTAGGCTATTTCTGATTGGCTCTCCATATCACTAATTCAAATTGACTTATTTCGTGAAACCCCAATGATTTATCTTGAGATGTTGAAAAATATTTGTTGCTGAAGATGAGTATTTTGAAGGTGTTTTGTTCTGTGATTTTTCTATTCTAATTGTCACAGCTGCTTATCTCTTGATGGCGAGACCTCACACTGTGTTATCTTGAATTGATGAACTCATTGTTATATCTGATGTTTTCAACTTCTATTTAATCGTCTTGTCAGCTGGAATCAACTTTTAATTCATTTATCCTCATCTTGGTGCTTACTAGAATGCGTAAATGATAATCCACCCTTTTATCCTTTCAATGTACGTGCTTTTGCACATACATTTATTGCAGTTGAATATAGTCTGACATGAGTTATTCAATATAGAATTAACATATGTTTTTCACTCATAAGTCAGTTGAATCTTGCAAATTATTGTCCACACAAACACAAATCAAGTATTCTGTTCATACATCAATAGTATTCACTATATTCATTTCATAATAGTCAACGCCTATATCGTTTAGCAATGATTATTGATGCATTGATAAGTTGTCGAGAACGAAATCAGACTATGTGCCAACTGCCCGGCTGTGGTGTGCACAATTATTATGACCAACGATTAAACAACTTAACGGACATGGCCTTAGAATCGGTCTCAATGGTGTAGATTCATTCTCTATTTACCTTTGTATTCAGCGAGTTCCTTCTCCAATAATATTGGATGTCTTTATTGTTTTCTACTACTATTAATACTGTTGTCACTTAGACTGCTATGATGTTTGACGTGATGATTTTTTTCTTGTTGTGTTAATAAGGTGATATGTATTGGAAACGTGAACTAATGCACATATGTACAAGATTTTACATTACTTTCGACTGACTGACTGGCTAACGTTCATATTATCCTCTTTTTATTTATTCTACTTTTCAGTACGACGGATATACAGCTTGTCCTATAGTTACAGGTTATAATCGTGGTATTATAGCGGAATTTGATTATAGAGCTAAACCATTAGAAACATTGCCTATTGACCAAGGTAAAGAACGTTATTTATTCTATTTTGCAAAAACATACCTTCTACCACCACTTTATTGGGATGGACTTTTAAGGTGAGTTCACATTGGTATTTATTTAACTGTAATTTATACCTCTTTTCTATTTTAGTAATATTTATGTCTTATAACTTGATATTATGTAACATACTAAACATAAGACGAGGTTGAGTTCTGTTAGAGATATATTAATGGATATTAGGTTTCATGTCTTCCGCAAAGTGAGAAGATATTTCATCTTCAAAGATCTGTAAATGAAAATGAGAATGAATGGTATAGTTCTAATCGATTCAACAACAAAACCCGCGAATTCAGAGGCACATCACCTAAAAATGTTTTACTCTGTGTAATTCGTCCTTGAAGTCACTAACTTCTAGTCTTAGCCGTGTTGGTAAGCGCAGACTACTTAGTTGGGGTCCGCGCGATTGTCGTAACCAATGGTTGGAGACTCTAGTTGACATGACTCGGAATCGATCACAATGGCGTAGGTGTATACACTCTTTGTCCTCCCTTAAACTATGAGATTGAAATTATTTCACATCTTTCCTTCTGCGAACTAATTCTTTCTTTCTGTACTATATCCTTACATATTACACCATTGAGTTAACTGCTTCAATGAATCAGGTGTTCGCCTTCCTGAAAAATGAGGTGTGCCAACTGGGACCGATGCATGTATGTGCCTGGTCCTACGTTTTAACTGGCTGACTGATACCAGGAATATTTAGGGCGAAGTAAGGTGTGTTACTACGAAAGATGAAATTTCTCTAATCCCAAACAGATTTGCTGGAGATGTTTGTTAACTTTTAAAAATAATCTATCACTATCACACTGCAGTGCATTCGGTACTACTACTGTTTCTAGGAACAAGTGTTACAACTACTGTTACTGGATAAAGTCTCTATGATGCGTGATCCTGACCGTCAAATTTAAATAGTAACTTATTATCTAGCTATACTGATACAGTTTGCAGATTGAATCTGTAAACACATTCAGTTGGATAATATTTAATTATATTTATTTAAAAGGTCTAATCGGGAACTATATGAGAACTAATTTATCTCCTACTAGATTATAGCAGGATGTTTTATACTTTTACTAATACTCATATATCAACACCTATCAATAGTCTGATGATTACATCTATCTATCGAACTCCATATTAGAGTAAATATTCCCTCCCAAAATATTATTTGATGTCTCCCTCTACATATATTATATATTATAATCAAATCATTTCTACTACGAGTTCATTTTTCAACCAATCCTAACTATACATGCACTACCAATTTTTTAATACTGACTATGATCAGAGTGCATAAATTATCTTAACTAAGTGCATTCTATATATGTGTGTACTTCTCTATTGTAATAGAAAGCTATGATATTTTAACAATCCTGTATCTAAATTCAGTTTAATTGTATGCTGATTGTTATCGCAATATACATGTCGCTAACCCTCGTATATTTTTATCGACTTAATTCACGTTTGGTCAATAACGGAATAAAAATAAGTTAATTACGAGAATGAAATTCAAATACAGATATGATATACACTCGCTGACTTGGACAAACAATCAGGGAAACGAAATGGCGCTCAGTGAAGAAGGCGAGTGAGCCAACTCGTTTTGATCAAGTGTATGTCGATATTTATAGTCAGGCAAAAATCAGTTACAGATCATGTAAAAACAGTTAGGGTTAATAAGCAAATTAGTGATAAGCTTAAAATGGAGTCCAACTGGGTCTGTTGTGAGATAGTAACTCACTGATGACAATGGTGGGTACGTCGCTCCATTTCGTAGATTAGTTGAAGTTAGACTTTTAACACCGTTGGACGCCGACCGGCTCAGTGCGCGAAACTGATAGGTCCTGGGTTCGGATCTCAAGAGGCGGGATCGTGGATGTGCACTGTTGAGGAGTCCCGCAGTAGGAAGAAGCAAACTTCCAGTGCTTCCAGGTTTTCCATGGTGGTCTAGCTTCAATTGACTCGTGATCTTAACCATTAAAAAACCTTATCTTCAATTTATTCTTTTGAAATCAACATATCATTTGTGTTCTGTTTTTTTCTTTCTCTCTCTTTTACTAGAGGAATATGGTCTGGTCCAAAAACTATCCGAAATCTGCTGCACTTACATCGACCTTCATATTCAGATGCAAAAGAATGATCGTTTAAATACCTTGAAGAAAAATAATAATTTTCTGACATTTCCCATGTATTCTTTCTCTTATCATGAGCGTGTGTGTGTGTGTGGATGTGTATGTATGTGCCTATTATTATGTAATTGATTATTTCCTAAACATTTACACATTGTGTTCTAGTTCCATTGACTTTTTCTCTCTAGTTTCATGTTTGCGTAACAAAATAATAACACATTTTCATTTTGTTCATTGATTTGATTGTTATAGGTAAGTGTGCATTTTCCTCGTCAACGAATACCATAATTACGTCCATTCCCAGATGTCAATGCCTATCCCTTTATACCTTGTAATGGTCATCTACTGAATTACGTAATCATATTCAACTAAATGATATTATATATGTTATGTACATTGTAATGGTTTCGACACTGATAATGTTGATATACTTAAGTTTGATGAATGTTTATTGTGTGAACATCAATACTTGGAGCTGGAGGTATGCATCCAGTTGATGAAATTCCTTGTTGGATGCATATACCCGTCTTGGATTTAACTGTTATTTATTATCTAGTAGTATAATGTTACAAATAATAATTGAAGACTTTTACCATTACCAATATTATCATAAATTTTATTTGAATATCGATTTGAGCAATAGTTTATCAGCTTACTAATGACTCTACTTCTAACTTGTTATGTTCAAGGTAAAATTCTTCTCTAGGTAGCCACGTCGTACAATCACCAACTTTTACATAAAAAAAATGTTTGCCAGTAAACCTCATTTTTCTATAGTTTACGTTACAAACTAACTTCAGTTAGACAACCATTCAATAACAGAAGGGATTGAATAGTTATGGAACATTTTAATAACGCTACTCCACCTTTATATTAATGATAATCATTTAAAGTGTTAATTCCTGTAGTTCTAATGAGAGGTCATGATCAGTGTCGTTCAACCATGTCGGTTGTGGGTCAGCTTTTTACCAGTGGCTGTTAGTCAGTCAAACTAAACGTAGAACCTGACACATGTGTCATTTGATTCAAGTTGCCATACCCCATCAGTACGGCAAGACGAAACTTTCAGGGAAAATCCCTGAGTATTTGGTTTAATAACAGTATTAGTGATAATAAAAAAAGGTTACACGCCAAAGGTACGATTCTAGAAAAAAAGTATAAATTAGCGAAATTAAAAAAAAACTTTATGAGGGAATTTATAAACTTGGAATCTAAGGGGAAGACAAATAGTGAATACAGCTATGCCACATCAAACGATTGTTAGCTATGTCACCTAAAGTTCCTGAGTGCTTGTTTCACGCGGACCTAAACCAAGTAGTATGGACCTACCTACAGACTCAGTCCAATGATGAATGTCTTCAAGAACAGGTGCCATATCTTAGTTTGGCACCCACTTTTTCTCCTATCATACTACAGTGAACACGATCACGCGTCAAGATAGTTTGTGGGTGAGCTTACGTAAAGCGTGTTCTATTAGTCTAAATCGATAGATGCTCACTACCTAAACTTATTTGTCATACCTGATACTCAGAGTTGCTAGCTCAATGGTCCCAAGGTATAAGAAAAGTGGTTCGAAGACGCATGACCAAATATTAGTGAACTACGAGTATCCTGTACTTTTAACGATGACGTGTAACAGCCACAAAGTAAAATGGAGCAGAATGTTAAGGAATTAACTCATCATTTGTTTGGCAGACGGACATCTTGCCCAAGTCACATGTGATGCAAGTGCTTAGAAGTCAACCAAGCTTGCTGAATTCGTACAGAGATTCCGTCAAACACTGACCCAACAGGACCGGTGAAACTTCCAAGGAAAGGAAAGTGATCGATGTATTCAAGTACTTCACTCCTGGTCATTGAAATGACAATTGGTTAAAGTTAGAAATCTAAACCATTGGACTCAAACTCAGATATGAATGCCAAGCAGTCACCTTGGAACTTAGAGATTCTGGTTTTAGTCTATGGTAAGATGATGAACTCACTTATTCAAAGAGTCCCATTCTAAAACGATATAGCTATTCGATGCTTTCTAGTTTTCAATGTTTATCTGATTCATATCATTTTGTAATATAAATCATAAAAATTTAACGATTCATTACATTGAGTCGCATTATTATTCTAATTAATGGCAGATTTCTTATCTTATATCATTATACTGTGTACAGTAACTACAAGTTGAACGTGTTAACTATGACAATATAAACATGCGTGTTTATTCAGTTATCATTGAAATCAGATGACAATTTTATGAATTTCTATAAATGTAATGTGGCGCTGTTTGTTTGTTTGTTTGTTCGTTTATTCATTATTAGAAACATAGTATCTAGCGTAAATGTTTATCGATTCAAGGTATTACATAAAGGAAACAATGATATAAATTAAAGAATTCCTTACAGTGGACGAATAAAATGATGAAAGCTCCACGACCAAATCATCCAGCTCAGAGAACAAAACTCCATCGAAATCATCTACCAGAACTACAAATGAGTAAATGTGAAATAGGAAATAGTATTGTGTTTTTTAATGGTTGGAGATAATAGACAAAAGAGCGTTTATAGTAAACAGAATACACCCATTAAGACATTAAATAAAAAAGATTAGTCCAGCAAAGAGTTCTCTTTTTGTCGAATTCACTTTCAAAGAATCAGAAATTCTCCTCTCTAAGATGTTTGTGGCTCTTTAAAACGAACATTCTTCCCAGTAACATTGCGAATGGTATTCTCCAGCCAATCATTGTTCATTAATAATCACATCTGACCGAATCAATATGCACTTACCAATTTACTTTCTCATGTAGAGTTAGTTATATAGGTCGTTTGATGCGTACTTTATCCAAAAGAATTCAAGAACATTACCAGGCGTGGCTAAAAAGAAGAGGCAATTGCTCAATAAGAAGTTCTATAATCGAACTACTCGTGCACACAGTTCACGCAATCAAGACAGACTCTGCGTTCAAAGTCATCTACAAGGTAAGTAGAAGTCTTCCAAAGACAATTGGATTGCATCTTCTTTGCATTGCCGGAGCTATAGTCATACATCTGGAAAAACCAGAATTGTATGTGCAAAAGAGATTGGTACAACCTCTTCTTCTACCATGGTCTTAATGTCTCATAACTTTTTTTCTTTCTTCATACTCTTCTTCCTTTACAGCCATCTTCCCCTCAGATATTCTATCCCCAACTGATTTATTTCTGTTTCTACGATCATCCTGATTAAATTTTATCTCAATTTCAACATTTTATCTTATCATGCTGAGCTATCCTTTCACAATGATAATTTCCCTATCTATCTTTTGATGATGAGAAGCCGTGACCAGTTGAGCTAATCCGTGTCGGGTAGAGACAGGTATTTATCTCAGTACAATGGAAGATGATCGCGCAATCTCGTGGATCGGTTAAGGTTAGACATTAACACCGTTGGATGCCGGCTCAGTGGTCCGGAGGCTAAGGGTTCGCGCACGGGATCGTGGATGCGCACTACTAAGGAATCCCACGATAGGACGGTTGATTTTAATTTGGTTATCTGAAGTTTGTGTTGATGATGTCGTTCAGAAGAACGACGAAAGCTCCACGACCAAACCATCCAGTTCAACAACGAAATTCCATTAAAATCATCCACTTGAGCTAAAAATCTTCTCCACAATCTCAGTAGAAAAATTAGATTTTCTGACATTCCGTGGTTTAGTGTAAACCACCTCTTCAGTGAATAAATAACCAAATTAAAATTAAGCCAAGTTTAAATAGTTCAAAGGAACAAATTATGAATATTAGGTGTGACCAATCAAAAGCACGTTTGATCAAGTCATCATTCCAGTCAAGGTGATTTATAATCGACATGTATGTAAATTTGTGTGTGTGTATGTGTGCAAGGTTAGGGATAAAAAATGTATGACCTTTATGGTGAGAAAGGATAAAGTTTAATTTGTATGTAAGAGAATAGTGTGAAATGTGAATAATATCGGACTAGGTAGCTAGGATAGATAGTCCAAGTCGGATGTATAGTGAGGTCTTCTTTTCTATTGAGAGCAGTAGGATTAAGCTCATTTGGTATTATTTGGCTTGTATCTTCCTATTGAGGTTTAAGACTGCAATTGATCAGTCTGTTATCGGCATATGTGCATACTGTGTGTATGCCTCGATATTGCCTTAATTCACAAGCTTTTTGTAGGCAATGGTGGATAGTGGCTAGCAGTGGAATTCAGGACACGCGTTTCGTCTTATTTGGGACTCGTCAGCTGGATGTACCTGCATCTTAACTCTGAGATAACGCGATGGCGTTTGAAGCGAATGGTACTGGGTTCCAGTCCCAGAGTGAACATCAACTCTGACATGCAGGTACATCCTGGTGACGAGTCCCAAATAGGACGAAACGCGCGTCCTAGATTCCACTGCTAGCCACTATCCACCATTGCTTACAAAAAGAAGGATTAAGCATTATATGGACAGCTTCTGTTAGTCTCCTTTCTTTGTAATTAGTAAGGCCGTTTTGTGATGTTTTTGAAAACGATTTGATGATTGTTGAAAATGGTGTGAACTGCTATTGCCGATTTAACTTGAAGTCTATCCAGTTTAACGGGACTGCTTTGTGTACCTAATATGTTCTTTGGCTCGAGTCAAAATTTCGCGAAATAACTGCAATATATTCGACACATCCTAATTTGTAGACACAGTTCTGTGTTGACGTAAAGGGGGGTTTTTCTTTTAAGCGAACTAAAGTATTTCGAAGTGCGTCCATTGTTTTGTAATATACTTTAATTCTGTGTTGTTTTAAGATTCTTTGGAGTTCTTCTGTTGTATCATGATGGTATGGTAAAAAACTGCAATACCAATCCATTCGAGTCATTATTTAGCAATGAAACATTTTGTTTTAATATGCTTCTAATAATCTTCATAGGAAAACTATTCAATTGTAAGATGTTGATTATATGCTTTTGTTCTTTTTCTTTATCCTTTTCCAATGTGACAATCCTGTTAGCTCTTCTAAAAAGATTTAGGGCTAACGAAATCTTTGC